GCACCCCAGCCGCAGCTCCCCGCGGGCGACGGGGCGCGGCCGCCGGGCGCGCAGGGCTTGAAGAACCACGGTAACACCTGCTTCATGAACGCCGTGGTGCAGTGCCTCAGCAACACCGATCTGCTGGCCGAGTTCCTGGCGCTCGGGCGCTACCGGGCGGCGCCGGGCCGAGCCGAGGTCACCGAGCAGCTGGCGGCGCTGGTGCGCGCGCTCTGGACCCGCGAGTACACGCCCCAACTTTCCGCAGAGTTCAAGGTAGGCAGCGCGCCGCGCGCCCTTCGGCTTTCGCTTCTCAGAAAGTGTGTGCCGCACCGGGAAGGGGTGTTCCTGGCGCCCCCCGGAGATGGCGATTGACAGCGGCGGCCCCGGGACACCGCTTCTGTTTCGAAGGGATGCGTTACGCCACCCTTTGATGTATTTAATCAATTAATTTCCCCCGGGTATTTTGAGCAGGAGCGGAGAGAGCTGACAGGTTATCTGCAGCCAGCATTTGGGCTCTAAGGCTTGTGTGCCAGAACTCCAGGGTTAGTTCAGCTACCAGGCAGAAGGGTGAGAGATGGGGAGCCGATGGAGGGAAGTCTCAGGGGACGGTGATGCTTGTGTTGTGAATGTCGAGAGGGACGGAGCTGAGCCCAAATCTAGGAATAATCCAGGCAGAGGGACCCGGCCTGGGCCCAGAGGAGCGCAGTATCACAGGCACTGACAGAACACCAGTGTCGCTGGAGGTCAGGAGGTGGACAAGGGTCAGGAGATCAGGTACAACCTTTGGACAGTGGTAAAGACTGGATTTTAGGATACGTGCTGCTGAACCGAGCACAGTAAAGACTGGATTTTATTTTAAGCCCAGTGGACCCTGAGAACCCGTGGGTCAGGTCCTGTGCTGAATGACAGGGACGAGGCAATGGGTGTGCTATTTTGGAGCTGTCAAACTTTTTCTTTTTTTCTTTGTGAGACAGGGTCTTGCTATGTAGTTCAGGTTGGCCTTCAATTCACTTTGTAGCCTAGGCTGTTCACGAACTCGCAGCGAACCTCTTGCCTCAGCCTCCTGAGGGCTGGGATCACAGGCGTGCGCTACCACGCCCAGCTGTTATTTTATTTAGTGCACGTTAAATCCCCTACAGTGCGTTGGCGTGGGTTGGACATTTCCACAGGAAATATCCAGGAAATGTCTGCAGGGTTACGGTCTGCTTGCTCAGGGTGCTGGGAGCTCGTGAGACTTGGTAAATTGCGTGTATCGCTTCACCTGGGGTTAACGTGAGGCCTGGGTTTGGGGGTCCCTGTTGGATGAAAGAGTTCCTGAGAACTGATGCCCATGGCTTGCTTCCTACTAAAAACCGCAGCTCTGGGCAGAGAGCTGAAGCTCCTCGCAGAATAGCGATTGTTGTTCTTGGGGGAGGGGAACCTGTCCGTGTTCATTCCACAAGCATCACCGCTCTTCGGTTTCAGCCCCGGAAGGCGGCCTTGGCCATGTGACCCGCGAGGGTGCCAACCTCCGCCTTCTTCTCCCCTGCCTCCCTTAGTGAAGAAGCCCTGTTTTGCAGCTGTTACATGAGTGTCATGAATGTTTCTTTTTTGCAACAACGGCTTTTTAAAATATGAGAGGCAATATATTTATAATGGTTAACAGCAAAGTGACTGGGATTTTGTGACCTTGAGCAAGTTACTATATTTCTTTGTGCCTCAATTTTTCTCATCTGTGAAATGGGACTGTAATAACATGTACATTATTATAGGGTTGGTGTGAGAATTTAAAACACTGCCTGGGCCCAGGGAAGTGTTCATTATTGTAAAATTACACCTGCTTACTCGCAGAGACCTAGGAGGGAGGCAATCTTTGCGCAAGTTTTCCCTTGCCTGATGCATTCCTCTCCAGTTACAACAGTGACCTGAGAGATAGAGTAGTTTGGAAAAAAATTCAAATTAGTTATCATCCTCAATGACTCACCAGGATTTCCTTTCCCTCTCTCCAGCTGTCAGATACCCAGGGCCTGGGATACCCCAGTAAGCCTTGGGGATGCAGGATAATTGCTGTTAATATGTTAGTAAGGGAGGTGTGATGGGGAGGTGTTTCTGGGGACTTTCAAGTAACCAGACTTGGAGGCTTGAGTAAGGGATTCCAGAATCAGGGCCTTTAAGTATTAGGAATTGAAATTTAAGTGGGCTCCTTTTGTTTTGTTTTATTTTATTTTATTTATTTTTGGCTGTTTTATTTTACTAATGATGAAACATTCATTCATTGCACACATACTTACAGACCGTCTAGACACATGATTGGAAACACGAAACGTGTGATGAGGGATGTGCACAATCCCAGGCCCTGTGGCTGCTCCCCAGAAGTTTACTGCAGAGTGAGAGATGGATGTTAAGGAAATGGTGACACAAGCTCATGAGCAGAACCAGTGACATGTGTTATGGCTCGTGTCTAGATGTCCCCCCAAAGCCTCATGCAGTCGTAGGTGGTTTTTTCAGAGGTGGCTGAATCTAGAGTGTGTGTGATTGATTCATGGTGCAATGCTAGGATTAAGGGTGGGTGATTACTAAATCAGTCCACTGATTGGATTGGCACGGTCCTAATCCCTGTAGGCTGGCTAAGATAAAAGGGCAGAAAGACACTGTGAAGGCCCGCTTGTTGTTTTGCTGCGCACCATGAACTATTTCCCTCTGCCATGCCGCCCTGCCTGGGAGCCAGCAAATTATGTACCGAAACCTCTACCAGCTGTGAGCTAAATAAACCTTTCCTCTTCTAAATTTGAGCACCTGTATTTTGTCTCAGCAATGAGAGAAAAGTAACTAAGACAACTCCGTAGAAGGTGCTGTGACAGATGTGGCTGGAGGATGTAATTTGATTGAGCGGGCAGAGTCAGCTTTCTCGAGAGGTAACCAGCCACTAAGTTGGGCTTTGAGGGATGAGGTGTCAACTAAAGCTAGGAAAGTGCATTCCAGGCCCTGGGAACCGAAACTGCCAGCCACAGGGGGCACCAGGGCTGAAAGTCCCTCTGCCAAATGAATTAATAAAAGCCTATGGGCTGGGGAAAGAGAGGCTGGGGAATTGGCTGGGGGCAAACTACATAATATCTTGTTAGGGAAACGGGAAGGACTTTAAGATTCAGACCCAGGTAGGGGCCAGCGAGCTGGAGTGTTTGCCTGTTCTCTAGCTCTGTGAATGGAGGGAGTTTGTGGTAACCCTCCTTCCTGCATCCAGGATCACCCCAGCCTCCCACTGATCGTAGGACCACTCTGTCTTAAACTCAGAAAATGAATTAAGTATATTAAAACATTTTTCCCCACAATGTTGCAATAAAAATATAAAAACTGTATGTAGTATATATCATGATGTTTGATATACATGGATGGGGTAAAATGTTTGATTCAAGCCAATTAACTTGCCCAGTAACTCATATACTTAGGGTTTTTTTTTGTGTGGTGAGAACATTTAGGATCTATTCTTTTTGTAATTGTCAAGTATATAATACATTATTGTTACTTGTAGTCTCTCTGCTCTATGATAAGTCTCCACCACTCAGTAATTTGTTGAACAAAAAGAAGTAACACGTTGTTTTTATTTTTATGTCTTTGTTTAGGAGCAGGTGGAAGATTTCCTATGTTTCTTGACTATTTTGTTCTTGGAATTGTCTTTTCATGTTGTATGTGTATCCATCTGCTTGGGTCTTAACGTTTGTTCTTTTTTTTTTTTTTTGGTATGGAAATCAAACTCAGGACCTTGCCTTTGCCAGGCAGGGGCTGTGCCACTGAGCTACATACCTGGCCCTTGACGTTTGTTCTTTTCATAAGGTCCTTTTAAGCCTTGTCACACTTGCTACAAATATTTTCTCCAAACGGTCTCCTTTTACCTCCTAACATGACACTGTAAGCTTTAAATTTATTTATGTTATACCTTTTGATAAGTATTCCATCTTACATACTTCTAGCTTTTCCATAGTTATATTAAGGATTTAAGCCATCTGGAACTCAGCTTATGTGCTTAAAATCAATTTTAGATCTACAGTGATGTACTAGAAGCATTGCATTTTAAAAACCAAGGATTCCTTCTTCATCACTCTTGGTTTTAGAAGTCCTGAGTAGACATAAAATGGAAGTGGAATAAAAAATATCAAACAGAAAGAAAATTGCTAAATGATTCTAGAAATTCATACTTTAGAATTATTGCTGATATTTATGAGGTCAGATATAAGACAGAAAATGAAAAGCAGTAACAATTTAGAATATATAAAAATTAGATTCCACTCATCATGATAACCAGAAATATGAACAACTAACAATACTTGTAATATGACATGTTAAAAATTATCAGTGTTTGGGAGAGAAAAGCACATGTACAGAATGTTATGTTGCAGGGTAGAAATACCAAATATGTTTCCTGAGTATTAGCTTTAATGAAGTTCTTGTCACATTTCAGTGGACTGTCTATGAGAATGTCTTCTGTGGGAATCATATATAAATTCTGGAAAGTGCCTTTCAGAAAGTTTATAATTGAGGAAAGACCAATAAAGAAAAAGATTCACTGTAAAAAAATTGGAATGCACAAATAAAAATGATAAAAATTATCCATGACATCATTATTGTATTTACTAGTTTACCATATATTGGTTTTGTGTGTGTGTGTGTGTGTGTGTGTGTGTGTGTGTGTTTTCAGACAGAGTCTATTAGTATGGGCTGGCCTTGAACTCACAGGAATCCTCCTGCCTCAGCCTCCTGAGTGCTGGGATTACAGGTGTGCACCACCACACCTGGCCAGATACAGTGTTTTATCTATTTATAAATATTTCTAAAAAACAATATTTTTGTGGGTTTTTTAATGTATTTTTTTCTTCTTTGGTGCTAGGGATTGAACCCAGGGTCTTGCACATAGTAAGCATACATTTTACTGCTAAACTATACCCCCAGCAAGGCTGTTTTTTTTCCTTTTACTATAGTCCCATTTTTTTCCATTAGTATTTCCAGAAGCCTAATTTTTAAGGCCATCTACTGTAAGTGTGCCATCAGTTTTCCCCAAAATAACTCTGATACACAAAGAGATACCCTCGCTTATAGCTGTCATTTCCTTAGGCTAAGTCCTCAAAGTGGAATTACTAGAAGGATATTTTTAAGGCCCTAATTTATCTGTTGTCAAATTCTTTCTGGAGCACTTGTCCGGCACCAGAGCCAGGATGAGATGCAGATGATCAGTCTTAAAGGATTATCATGATTAGCTGGAGGGCAAGGGCTTTCACGTGAAAGAAAAAGCAAGTGTAAATACCAGGCTGCAGAAGCAGGAGAGCGTGTGGAGACCTAAGTGACTGGTACCCGTATGTGGAGTTTTGAAACAGCCCGGAGACACTGGAAGATGTGGTCCGGGCCCAACCGGAGAGTTTGGACCGTGAGTTGCTGCACAGAAGAGTGAGGAAGGGTTGGAGCACAGTGGGCCGGCAGGGCCAGGGCTTCTCCTTAGGTAGGGATTATGGGCTGGGTCATAAGGAGCCCAAAGCATGCTGGGAATGAGACTAAGTGTGGGGGAAGGGCAGAGACATTTTGGAAGTCAGAATCCAGACAGCCTGACAGCTGACATGACTGCTGCCGATTTGAAGGAGACCATGAGGGACGGACGCGTCCTTTCGGAGGAAGGGCTGATTTCAGAGATTCTGAGCGCCGAGCGCTGTTCCCTCGGAAAAGAATGTTGGGACCGGGATCTAGGTTTAACCGTGGTTTGCGGCCGGGGTTGCCCAATAAAACACAGGATGCCCAGCTGATTTTAATTGCACATGAACAGTGAATAACTATTCGGTATTAGGGATTGAACCTGGGCCCTTCACACTGAGCTACATCCCCAGCTTGGGCTCAGCCATGTGACCCTCGTGCTTCAGCTTTCCAGAAGGTGGGATTACAGGCGCTGCTGGTCACCACGCCTGGCTTGAATAATTTCTCAGTATAAATGTATTCCAACATTGCATGGGACATATTCCTACTAAAACAGTCATTCATTGTTTATTTGAAATTTCAATTTAACTGGCACCTTTTTTTTTTTTTTTTCTTTTGTCCCAGCGCTGAGAATCAAACCCAGGGCCTCACACATGCTAGGACAGTGCTCTACCACTGAGCTTCACCTCCAGCTCCCATGTTTTCTATTTTTCTTTCTTTGTCTCGACTTTTGTTTGCTGAGTCAGGCAGCCCTACCTGGAGGTCAAAGTGCAGAGAACCGTAGGGGAAGAATTCGGATTAATGTAATCAGAATAAGAGTGTAGGACAAACATTTTAATTAATTAGACCTTGAATTTTGCTTTGTTTCATCCAGCTGTTTTCTTTAAATCTCAAGGGAAGATTAAGATCAAGTACAAAAGCTAAGGCCATTGACTGAAGTGGCAGTGATAAGGACTGTCCTGGTCCCTACCTTTGCTCACACTGGTCCCCATGGCCTGCCTGGGGTGAGGCTGCATGCGTGGCTTTGCAATCTAAGGGCCCTGCAGTCGAAGAGAGTGACAGACTGTGGCGGTGCACCGGTGCACATGCGCGTGTGCTCACACGGATGGGGATTTGCTTACATTCGGTTGCTCATCTTGCACATGCATAGCCGAAGTCCCTGCGAAGATGCTCAGGACGGGCTGAGGGTGGCCATCTATTGGGGAGGGACCAAAAAGGAATGGAGACTGGGCAGAAGGAAGGCTTTTCATTCTTCTTTTTTATATTTTGAATTCTTTTAAAAAATTGTATATACCTGTGTTACCCTTTGAAATAAACTTTTCAAAAGCTGGGAAATGCATTTCCTCAAAGATGACAATGCTGTTGTATAGTTTAATAAAAGGACAGTACAAAGATGGCAGGTGACCACCAGGGCAGGGAGTCTTGTGTGTTTTGAGACAGGGTCTTGCTCTGTAGTTCAGGCTTCACTTGAACTCACTGGGTAGCCCAGGCTGGCCTCAAACTTGTGGTAATCTTCCTGCCTCAGCCTCCCTCCCTAGTACTGGGATTACAGGTGTTCCCCACCAGGCTTGGCTTGTTTTCTTCATTGTTGTTCCTGAGTCCCACACGTATCGCTGGCAGAGCCACGTCATGATCAAGAATTTTATATTCTTAAATTTTCATCCATATTGGGAAGGGGTGGTAAAGGAGCTACATACGTTTTATTTTAAGAAGTTAGCTCTGCAGCAGGTGTGGTCATTGTCAAGAACGGAAGCCATGGGTGTGAATGGAATTGGTGAGGGAGAGAATAGGACACAAAGGCTGGGGTTGCTGGAAAGAAACAGCGTGGGGATAGACCCATGGCAGGGCAGCTCCAGCAGTGTGGGAGACCCCAGCAATCAAGGGGTGAGAGCTGCAGGGAGAACAGATGGTCACCAGCATAAACATATTCAGCAGATGAGCCAGTGGATTTTGAAGTTGCGGGGCACATTCGTAGACCTTCTGGGCAAAGGGGCCTACGCTGCACTGAGAGTGCTCAGGCCATTTGGGAGCAGATTATGAACGGGAAGAAGCGTTCTACCCCGGGTCACCTGTGCGCTATCTTCCCACAGGCGACTGCCTGGTAGCTTCATGGTGTATGACCTCACTTCTTTCGCTTGTGTGCAGGGCCCAAATGATCTCTGTTTTTCTTCGTTTCCTTTCAGAACGCTGTTTCCAAGTATGGCTCCCAGTTCCAAGGCAATTCTCAACATGACGCCCTGGAGTTCCTGCTCTGGTTACTGGACCGTGTCCACGAGGACTTGGAGGGCTCTTCCCGAGGGCTGGGGTCTGAGAAGGTTCGGCCACTCTCAAAACAATGCATTGTATTGAATTTTCTGGCTTTGTTTTTTCCCTTTGAATATTTACTCAGCACCTTAAATTCCTGTGTATTCTGGCTACTGTATACACAGAGTGTTCTCTGCTTCCTTCTTTTAGCTCGTTTCTTTTAGACAAGACATTTCCTCCCACTGCAGTCTTTCTCATCTTCCTCAACCCCAGTGAAATAGTGAATAGGGTTCATACTTTGAGAAAAAAATGTTTCTCTCTGTCTATAGTCTTTGTAGTAGTCTGGCCGTCTGAGGCCATGAGAACCATTCCTTATTATTTCCGGATGGTGCAGTTTCAAATCTGCTGTTGCTTTTTCTGTTAGGTAGCCTACAGAGCAGCAATTCCTAACCTTTTCTCTCAGTTCCCAGGATGGATGATTTTTATGTTGTGCATTTAGCATTTCTGATTTGATGAAACTCCAGACCTCTGGAAAGAGCCAGCATTACCTGTAATAGCCACAGTTAATTGGTACATCAGCTATTTTCTTTATGGACTTTGCTAAATAAAGATCAATAATGGCTTATGCTTTAATATGAGCCCTTTATCCCCCCTGGAGAAAGCAGAAGTGAATGAAGTTATTACATCTTTAGTGAGCAGCTGTAACAATATCTGTGACTAACCTGCTGTAATTTAGAAAGGTGTTTCATAAGCTTTGTTTCTGCTTCTGTTTTTTGAGTCAGGGTCTTACTATGTAGTTTGGGTTGGCTTTGAATGCACTATGTAGCACAGACTGGCCTTGAACTTGTAGGGATCCTCCTGCCACAGGCTCCCAAATGCTGGGATTACAGGCATTTCATAAGCTTTGGTAACTAATCAGTAACACATTCCTTTTGATGTACCTCATGGCTGATCCAGGTATATCCCCAAGAACTGCTTCATCATTCTTTTCTTATGGCTTTTTGAGATAGGTTCTTCCTAGATAGTTGAAGCTGACCATAAACTCACTATGTAGCCCAGGCTGGCCTTGAACTCGTGGAAATCCTCCTGCCTCAGCCTCCTGAGTGCTAGGGACCACAGGCATGCACCACCATGTCCAGCTGCTTTATCATTCTGTTGTTGTTTTAAATCAGGGTATTTGATCCAACCCCTCTTGTGAATAAACTAAAAAGCCCTTGGGAAGCCCTCTCTCAACTTTTCCTTCCCATTCCTTCATGATTTTCTTAGAGCCCATCATTCTGATTAATAGAGAAGAAATGTCCCAGGAAGCTCAGTCTTTTGGGTTTTTTTTTTTTTTTTTTGAACTTGTTGACATAACCAACTGTTCTCTTTCTGATTTTGTATTATGTTATTATGTTATGACTTTTTTTTTTTTTTGAGACAGGATCTTGCTATGTATTCCAGGCTGGCCTTGAACTCACTATGTAGCCTAGGCTGGCCTCAAACTTGTGGCCATCCTCTAGCCTCAGCCTCCCTAGCTACTCTTTTTTTTGGCAGGGACTGGTTTTTTTTTGAAACATATTCTTGCTATATAGTTTAGGCTGGCCTTGAACTCACTGTTTAGCTCAGAGTGGCCTAAAAATTGCAGCAATCCTCCTGCCTCAGCTGCCTGAACCCTTACAGGTATGCACCACCATGCCTATCTTTTCTGTTTTAAGATGTCAATGTGGAACTTTAGGAAAAGGATCCCATGACCATATATGTCCCCTGTGTCAGAGAGGTTGGATAAACTTGAAGCTGCATGGGTAGGAGAAGGGGTAGAGTCAGGATTCTAGCTTATTTTTAAATTTTGAACCCCAGTTTCATTTGTGAACCCCAAAATGAACAAATGAAACAAAGTCAGTGAGGACTCCAACAAAACCTGGGGAACAAAACATGCACTATATGATTATGGGGGTTTCTCTGGGTTGTGGGTGATTTTTCTTTTATTAACGGTGATTTTTCTATGCCGGGCTTGGCAGCGCACACCTGTAATCCCAGCACTCAGAGGCTGAGGCAGGAGGATTGCCGTGAGTGTGAGGCTAGCCTGACCTACACAGTGAGTCCAAGGCCAGCAGAACTACAGAGCAAGACTCTTGTCTCAAAAAAACTAAAACAAATATAAACAAACCATATCGATTTTCCATCAATCTTATTTACACCCTTGTAGTTGATAGAAATTTAATTTGATCCAATATTTTGGGTCCACTTTAAGGGAAAGGCATTTATTGGCTTTTATACGCTGTAACTCCAAGGATTAAAGAAGCTTCAGGTAGAGCTGGATCCCAGGGCTCAGATGATGTCACCAGGTCTCCAGCCAGTTCTTACACTGGCTGTCCCATGTGGCAGCTGGGGGAGCTTCTCAACGCCTCTCTGTAGAGCCTCATGTTCCAGAAGGAGCCCAGGGCTGAGTCTGATTGTCCTACCTTGGTTCCCAGGTCCATTCCTGGGCACTTGACCAGAAGACTGGGATATTCTGATTGGGCCACATGGGTCACAGGCCTGTGGGGTGAACATGGGCCAAGAAGGATGTTCTAGAGCCAGCACCATTTGCTTCCCCAAGGGAATAGAATATTAAGCAGGTGAATAGAGCCACACTCCATTGTGTACCCATATGTTTCTGGGAGGACATTTTGAAATCAGAATGTGTTTTAAAAGTGTTCGGATACTGGTTACTGGATGTTTCTTGTAGGCCAGGCATCTAGCTTGGTGCTTTTCATAACTTATTTTGCTCCCTGGCACATAGCAGACACTCGATAGACTCTTGAATTAATGGCTATCATGCTTTCATATTTATAAGGATAAACCGTGTTCTATAGTTAAGTGAGATTTGTTAAGTAAATTATCGAGTGACTCATCCTCTACTGGGTGGAAATAGAACCAATTGAACCTGGGCCTGTCTGCTCCAAACCCAGTGTGCTGGCTGCCCTTATGAGTGATTCATGTCTTCTTAGTCACCCACTGAGGCAGAGGACACTCAGGGACGGGTGGTCCCTCCTCCTGGGGCTGTATAGGAAAGGCCTCTTTTCCTGGTTTTCCCCTCCCCTCTCCCTGACTATACCAGGGAGTTCTCCTGACCTGGAAAGTAGGTGGACAGACAGCGGCATTAGCTTCCATTACTATAATAAAACACCAGAGATAGTAGTTTAGAAAGAGGAAAGGTTTATGTTGGCTGACAGTTTTGGAGGTTTTGGTCTGTGGTTGGGTGGATCCATTGCTTCTGGGCGTCTGGCGAGGTAGAACATGGTAGCCCAGAGCCCAGGATGGGATGAGCCATTCATGTCATGGCAGCTGGGAAGTGGAAGAAAGATATAACAAGGGACTGGGTCCCCACAGTGCCCTTTGAGGGAATGCCCCTGTGACCTAAGATCTTCACTGGGCCACCCTCCCAAGATCCCATCCCTAATAGCACCAAGCTGGAACAAAACCTTTTGCATGTGGGACTTTGGAAACAGTCCAGGTCCAAATATTGGTCTTCCAAGTTACCTTTGGTTTTCCTCTTCAGTTCCTCGGTAGCAGGAAAAGCCATTGGGTTTAAGAATGGGGAAGACCACAGAGAGGGTGAGTAACGTGCCTCAAGTTACACAGTTGGTACATGGGAGAGCCGGAACCCAAATCTAGAACTGCAGCTCTATGCCAGGATTTCTTAACCTCAACACTTTTGACAGTTTTTGTTTGTTTTTGAGATAGGACCTCACTATGTGGTCCAGGCTGGCCTAAACCTCATGATCTTCCTGCCTCAGCCTCCCAAATCCAGGGATCACCGGTGTTAACTAACCATGATGCCTGGTCCTAATGATAGTGTACCACCCCAAACCTTCCTGTAAGATAACCTGCCAGTAATTCTTTTTTTAATAACTTCAGTAGTAAGTGAAAGCAGCCATAATTAGTCTTTCAACTTCCTTCTTTTTTTATTCAAAGTAGTACTAGAGATAGAACCCAGGGCCTTGTCTATGTAGGCAAGTGCTCTACCACTGAGCCACATCCCCAGCCAGCCCCAGTGGCCACTGTGTCCCACAACGATGCTCTCCACAGTGCAGCCAGATCTCTTCAGAAAGAACATCAGATTGTCACGCTCCTTCCTGCATTGCTTCTGTGGCCTCCTTTCACACAGAGAACAAAATCTAGACTCCTGTATTGCTGACACAGCCCTACCTAACAGATCCTGCCAACCAATCAGACAGATCCCAGACCCCTTGCCCCTCAATATCCTTGGACCCCCGAGCTGCTTCCTATCCGTTTCTGGGCCCATCATGTAATGGCATTCAATAAGCATGCCCAGGGCCCAGCTGTTGCCCCAAGACAGGATCATAACCGGCCCTCACTTGTACCCCACGAAGGCAGAAAACATCTTCCTCTCTCTCTCTCTCTCTCTCTCTCTCTTTCTCTCTTCTCTCTCTCGGTCAGGTCAAAGTCTTTGCTGAAGTTTGCACTCAGAAAATCGGGCTGCCTGTGGAGGCCTGGCTGTGCACGCCTGTCAGTAGAGAGCCGAGCTGTTGCGATTATCTGGCATGAAACTATTCTCCCTTTCCGAGAAGCAGAGCTGCCGTGCTCTGCGTAACTCCGAGTGATTTTTCATTTTGAAGTTATTTTCATTTTGCGGACATGGGAAAGCCATATCGCCAGGTTTATTCGTAACTGGAATAGAAAACCTAAGGACCACTTTCTTTTCCATTACTTTAATGATGCTCAAATGTTTCTATCCTGTGAAAAGGGTGTATTTTTACTACCCTATAAACACCAACACATAAGCAATCTTTCTGGCAGTTTGTTTTCCAGAAAATGCCATTCTTAGAGCAGAAGGAGGAGGGTGAAGCTGGGCAGAGGACCAACAAGAGTGCCTACTGTGTACCAGGCAAAAGGCATATGCCCTGTCTTGGTTTGCACAATAGCTCCATGACGCTGAGGGGTATTATTCCTTTCAGACATAGGATGAAGCTTTAAGGGATACTCCAGGCTCACTGAGCTGGCAGAGAGTAGAGCTGTTTGTCTGACCTCATAGTCAGTCATGGCGACTTCCTGCTTCCTGTCATCCGGCCTTGTTCAGGTTCTTCTTTCCATATGTCACTCCTGAATGACCCATCTCCAGCCCCTCCTGGTTTCTCACACTCTTACCTTGGTGCAGAAGCTTCTTATGTCATTTCGAGTTCTTTGGTTGCCAACCTGAGATGACTCAGAAAGGGCTCATAAGAGAAGACCAGGGCGGAGCACACGGACTAGGGAAGCCGGCAGAAGCGGGTGTGGAACAGCCCAGCATCAGGCCCCTCTGGGAGAGGGAGACATCTCAGAGGCAGGAGGCTCAACTATCTGGCATGGACACAACCGCTGGAATCAGTGTTTCACCTTTTGGCCACTTTGCTCACAATCACATCCAGAGCAGGAAGATTTCATCAGTGTGATGTGCGTCATAGACCTGTATCCTGGTAGGGATGGGTGGGAACCTGACGAAAGAGCCTTTTGCACCCCAGGAATAGATGCAGGGTCCTGAAATTGGTGCTCCTACCACAGAGGAGGAGTGAGTGCTGTCAGACAGAGTATCCCAGTGTCCACTCCATGTCCAAGTTTGCTGCACAAGCTCACACCTTTATGTAGTTGTAGTTGATGTCTCTGCATGGAAGTCCTCCAGTCACCCTCAAACTTGGCATGTTCTTCTGAAGCACACGTCTTCCTTTGACTTTCCCACCTCTGTTGATGGAACTGGTATTGGCATCAGCTTGGAACTAGAGTCTAAGTCATGTTTACCTCTTCCTTCCTTCTTCCTATCTGCTTCTTGGTCAGGTGCAGAGCTATGAGCTGTGCACAAAGGTGTCTTAAGTCCACCTTCCCTTCATTTTCATGGCTCCTCCTCTAGTTCACCTTGTCGCTACATGGACCCTTAACCTCCTTTGTCTGTGTTCCAACCTCTAGATTTATTCCCTTCCATGGGAATTGCTGGTGAATTAAAGCATCTCCCAAGCATGTAGCCACCACGTAGGCTCAGAACCCACTGGCTACTCCCCATCAGGAAGCGCCGCTCATGTATATATTTAAATCCTGAAAACATGGCATCAGATAGATATTGTTGTGATCTTGTTACAGTAGAGAAATTGCTGTGGCTTGACTGTGTCCCCCAAAATTTCGTGTGCTAGCAACTTAACCTCCAAATTCACATGTTAATAGACTAGAGGATGGGATTTTGGGAGATAGTTAGGGCTAGACAAGTTCATGAGGGGTGTCTCCCATGATGGCATCATAAGATAAGGCAGAGAGTGAGTGCAGTTGCTCTGTCTGTCCATGGGGTGCCCTCACCATGCTGTAATGCAGCAGAAAGGTGCTCGCCAGATCCAGCACCGTGCTCTCAGACGTCCCACCCTCCAGAACAGTAAGCTGAATAAACCTCAGCTCTTTATAAATCATCCAGTCTTGGGTATTTTGTTACACCAACAGCAAAAGGATGAGAAAAAAATCACAGACCGTATAAGAGTAACCTTTTAACTGTGTTATAGAGGTTGAGTAACTCTCAAAACCAAGTCTCAGCTCAAGGATTTGAAGCCAGCAGTCTGACTCCTGACTACAATTTTGACCCTGCTCCTGCATTGTTCACTGGAGCGGCTGCAGTGTCTTGTGGGGGACTTTGAAAGCCCCACCCAATGGGACACCAGACTTGCTCCCCAGCCCTGTTTTTTTCACTTCCCTTTGTATATCCTGTATTGTAGTCAGATTGGACGTGATAAAATATTGGCGCAAACAAGAGCGACCATCCCACATACTCATTACTTATTTGCCCTGATATTTTATTATGAAAAATGTCATAACATGAAAATGTTGAATGAATTATACACTGAACACTCACACCTACCGCCTAGAATCTGTTTTATGTTTCACTAAATTTGCCATCCTTAGCAACTGTCCACTCTTCCCTCCACTCATTCTTCCATCTCTCTCTCCTTTTTCTGCTCATCTCATTTTTCTGCTATATTCTGAAGCGCACTGCACACATCAGCACACTGTACCCGGGTGCTGCATGTGTATTCCACTTGCCTGCTTCCGTCCTCTGCTTTCTCAGATCCTGCAGCATCCTCCTTCGGTTCCACCCAGGTCTTCACCCGCCCCTCACCATCTGTGCATTCTCCTAGTGAATGTTCCCTCCTTCTCCTGGGGGATGATAGCGCAGAAGCACAGTAGACCCCCAAAGTGCCCAGAATTGGTCCAGGAGACAGACATTCACACAGTCCATAGACACATGCAAAGTGTATCTGTAGTATTACCATTTCATGTTGGGAGTGGAGGAGGTAAAAAACGTCTAAAAAGACTCCTTGAAGTTGGACGTGGTGGCACACCCTGTAATCTCAGCAATCTGGGAGGCTGAGGCAGGAGGATAACAAGTTTGAGCCCAGCCTGAGCAACTTAGTGACTTAGTGAAAAAGTCTATCCCCCAAAAAAAAAAACAATTAATAAAAAAGGGCTAGGATGTAGCTCAGTGTGAAGCTTTGGATTCAATCCTATAAACCATTAAAAAAAAAAAAGAAGAAAAGAAAAGAGCCTTGAAGGGAAGGAGTAATGATGAAAAAGCTGAGGCACATTGTTCTAGGCAGTGATGGCGAACCTTTTAGAGCATTCAGTGATACAAACAGCCTGCCGCGGCACGCGTGCACAGGTTCGCCACCGCTGCTGTAAGCTGTCTTTTATGTGGCCATATGCGAACGCTCACATAGGTAATCAGTATTTTACTTAAATAGCTTTATATAGTGAGTGGCTTTGACCCTGGGATTGTCCTCAAATACAGACCTTTCAAGCACAAAGAGTTTTGCATATTGAGGCCATAATAAATGCTTGTGTTGCTTGTGTCGCTTGTTCAGGGGTAGTAGGTGAATAGGTTAAAGAATGGGTGGAGAATAAGTGTAGAAACTAGAAACTGGCATAATTCATATTGGGGTTGGTAGGGGGCCATCGGGGTTTGGTGGCATTGGGACAGGCATGAGCCCCAAGGTAGGTCACTAAAAATGACCCCTGAGCTAGAGCCCTGCATCCTGGAGATGTTTTCTTATATGAGGTGAGGACCTTATGGACATGACTGAGTTAAGGATCTTGAGATGGGGATAACTGAGCTGGATACTGAGGTGGGGGTTGGTTCAGTCCTGAGTGCTTTTATAAAAGAGGCTGAAGGAGACCGGAGCACACAGAGGAGAAGGTGATGTGGACAAAGCAGAGAGAGATTTGAAGATGCTGGCCTTGGAGACCAGAGCGACAGGCCACCAGCCAATGACTCTGGGCAGCCAGCAGAAGTCGGAAGCAGTCAGGAGTAGGTTCTCCCCCGGGGTCTCTGCTGGGAGTGTGGCCCTGTTGACACTGTGATTCAAGCCTAGCAATACTGATTTTGGATGGCTGGTCACAAGAACTGAGAGAATGAATTTGTTGTTCAAAGCCACGTTTGGTGATGATTTGCTACAGGAACCAGAGGAAACATACACAAGGCCACACGGAGAAGTACATAGTGCAACTGATGTAAGTACAGTGAGTGAAGAAAGTTTAGGAATCAAGTTGTAAAATTTCAAGCCTCCTTTGTCTGCGAATGATGGTTCTCACAGGAAAACTGGCTTGCTGGAGAGTGTGAGCAGGGACAGCTGTGCAGGTAGAGGATGGAGAACTTCGGTGTGTCTTGGCTTGAGGTAGTGATTGTTCACCCGAGTAGACATATAAGAGGCATCTGAACCGGGCGTGGTGGCACATGCTTGTAATCCCAGCACTCTCGAGGCTGAGGCAGGAGTGTCGTTGAGAGTTCGAAGCCAGCCTGGGCTACAAAGTGAGCTCAAGGCCAGCTTGAACTGCATAGTGAGACCCTGTCTCAAAAAGACAAAAACAAAACAAAACAAAAAAAAACATCTGGTCAGGGAGGGCCTGGTGGGTCAGAGGTAAAGAGCTGGGGCCGGCCATCCCCAGGGAAGGCTGAGTGAGCATTCCCGCTTACATTTTGCTCTTTTTTTTTCTTTTTTAAATTTTTTGAGACACAGTCTCACTATATAGTCCAGGCTGGCCTCAAACTTGTGGCAGTCCTGCTGTCTTAGCCTCCCGAGTGCTGGGATTGCCCAGCTAGTTTTGGTCTTTCCATACAGATGCATTCTCTCTCTTGGGGATTTTGGGAGATGAAGAGGTTGAGATTACTAGCTGACAGTCAAGGCAGATTCAGAAAGGGCTGACGAGGGCCCAGGAGGAAGCTTTGTGGTCTGGAAGCCGTCATGTGATATCCAGGAAGGTGAATTTTATTTGTTTGTTTTATGAGATGGGGGTCTTGCTGTTTAGTTCAGGCTGACTTTGAACTCACTATGTAGCCCAGGCTGGCCATGAATTTGCAGTGATCCTCCTGTCTCGGCCTCCCAAGAGTTGGGACTACAGGTGTGTGCCCTCATGCCCAGCCAGGCAGGTGGATAGTATCTAATCTAGCTTCATTTCCTGATTTTTTGCAGCTGCTGTCTGAAGCCAGTAAAACACCTGAGAACCTCCAGCCGTCATCAGCTCAGCTTTCTGTGGGCCAGAGCTTTGTGCAAAGCCACTTTCAAGCACAATACAGGTAGGACTAGATGCATTTGGAATGTAGCACCCAAGGGCTCAGGGAATTTGATTGCTGGTCAGCCCTTTCCCGTTGGCACTGAGCCTGAGATTAGACAGCAGCAAAACCGTAAACACACAGTCCGCATGCCCATCAGTCACTTGCCCCTGACTGGTAGTGGTTTTTTTTTCCTTCTTCCTGTCTTCTGGGCCTTTTACCTCCTCTTGATGAAGGGCAGCTCTTCAGTGAATGCGGAAGCTGGGACATCACCAGCATGTGATCCCCTTGAAGCTGGTGAGACCCAATTTGCCTTTTATGGCCAGAAAGCCTAATTAAACAAGTCATTCTGGGCACAAGCGTTCCCCACATTCTGGGGGACACAAAAATAAATGTAATTACATAGCCTGTGACTTCAGAGAGCATGTGTGCTCTTCGGGCACTTCTACATAAAAATATCAGGACCCTCTCCACAGAGCAGAATATGTTCACGTGTTATAATGTTTAGTGAAGGCGCTTACTGCAGGGAGAGGTCAGAGAGGCTTCTTGGAGGAGGTGCGCTTTTGGATTGGCTTTGGGGGATAAAGCGGATCCGATGGGTGGGACAGATTCACCAAGAATGAATACAAGCTTAAAGCTGAGAATGAGGATAGGGACCTGGAATTAGGAGAAACCACTTGTTACAGAAAACCTCCTGCAGGTGGAAAGCTTGCTCATATGTATGAGCTTTAAAAACATATACTTATTTATTTATTTAGAGACAGGTTCTGTCTCTCTCATTCAGGCTGGCCTCAAACTTGTAGCATTCCTCCTGATAGCCTCCTGAGTGCTGGGATTGTAGGTGTGTGCCACCATACCTGGCTTAAATGTGTTTTTTAACTGATACATAAAAAACAAAAATTGTACGCATTACTGAGATGTGTTGTAATACTTTGATACGTGTATAGTGATACATTGTGCAGTGTTTACATTAGGAGAAATACAGTGGTGTCTCAGTTTACTAATTCACCTCTCTCCATGATTCTGGTCTCAAACTGACTGGATGAGAACCGAATCAAATTTCCCCCTAAAGTGAACATTGAACCTCACCTTTGAATTTGATTCAAAGGTTGGGACCAGAGTCATGGATAAAATCAAGTTCATGAGCCAAGGTGCCACTGTACAGCTATTTCCTTAAGCATTTATGGTTTGCTTATGGTGGAAATTTTCAAATTTCTTCTAGCTTAAAATGCACAGTATGTTCATTGTCAGCTATAGTCACAGCAGCAGTAGCACACCGGAATTCTTACTCCTCTCTCACTTAGTACCAACTGACCAGCCCCATGCTCTCCCTGGCCTCTGGTAATCGCTGTTCGGCTCTCAAATTCGATGCCACAAGCTTTTTTTAGGCTCCATATTTATTTATTTGTGTGTATGTTATTATTATTATTGTTGTTGTTGTTATTATTATTATTATTTTAGACAGGATCTCACTATGCAGTTCAGGCTGGCTTTGAGCTCACTTTATAGCCCAGGCTGGTCTCGAACTTGCAATGATCCTCCTGCCTCTGCTTCCTGAGTGCTGGGATTATAGGTGTGTGCCACTACGCCCAGCCTTATTTTTGCTTTTTGATCCAGGGTCTTGTTATATAATTCAAGCTAGCCTCAAACTCACTTTGTAGTCCAAGCTGGCCTTAAACTTGTAGCAATCCTCCTGTCTTAGTCTCCTGAGTTCTGGGATGACAGGGGTGTGTGACCACATGCAGCAGTTTCTGTGTAATTTTTAACATATAAAAATATGTGATAGCACATATATTTATATATTATATTTATAAAATGAAATATATGTGATATAATACATAGTATTATGTATCATATCATAAATACATATATTTGCATAAATACATATTTATATATTTACATAAATATATTCATGTTACATAAATATATTTATAGTATATAAGTGCATATGAAATAATGTATATTATAATGTATGTATTACATTTATATAATTTATTATTGTTGTTGTTGTTGTTGGGCTTGAGGATTGAGCCTAGGGCCTGGTGCATGGTAGGCAAGCACTTACCACTGAGCTCCATCCCTAGCCCCAGTGCGTTTATATTTATATATACACACAATGTAGCTTGCATTTAATCCTTACCAGAGTGCAGGAGGTGAGTGCTGTGACCTGGGAGGCGGGCCTGTTTTCTTTTTTCCTGTGGTACCATGTTGGGGACTGAACCCAGGGCCTTGGCACTGAGCCACATCCCTAGCTCTTTTTAAATTCATTTTGAGACAGGGTCTTGCTCAGATGCCCAGGCTGGTCTCGCCCTTTTGATCCTCCAGCCTCAGCCTCCTAGAGTGCTGATTTTACAGGTGTGCACCACCGTGCCTGGCTTCCATGCGGCTCTTCAGGGACGACAGTGAGTGAGAGGCAGCCCCTGGCCACTGTCACTTCTCGGAAGCAGGAGCTCTGCCTTTGTTTTCTTTGCCCTTCCTCCTCTTCTGTTGCTTTTCCAGTTCGCCTTGTTCATCCATGGTGATTTTCTCTGCTTTTTGCTTGCACCACTGCTTGGCTGTCTTGTTCCCTATTATGGATACCAAAATATAACTAAGTTTTTTTCTTCAAGATATTCCGTCAAGTCATTTCAAAGCAATGCTTCTCTCTGGGTCTGTGAGACTACTGCCCTTTCCTTTGCTTGGTGGGGTTTTTCATAGAGTTCCTATGTTTTTCTTCTCTTAATCACTTCTCTTCAAGCAAGGTGATGCTGACTCAGTCTTTTAGAATTTTCAGCTTCCAGCCATTTGCTTCCATCCTTTTTTGGGATTTACATTCTTTGTGTTTCAAAGAGAGGAGGTCATTTACCATTGCTTGGAAACTGTGCTGCTTTGGGAGTTATGTTCAGTGATCACAGATAAAATAAGGAGGAAATGATCACCGTCTGGAAGGGGAAGGCCAGATAGTCTCTGAAATACCTTGAGTGTGTGCCTGCTGGAGCTGCTTGCCTCTCCAGCAGAACATACCCGAGCACGCGGGAAGTCTGTTGCTCTCTGCCCCCTGGGATGGAGGACCCTGAGGAAATGGTCAGAGTGGTAAGAACAGGGGCCACTCCATTTCTGTCCTTGATGGCTGAAAATATTCCCACGGGAGAACATCTCTTCTGAGTGAGCTTGACTTTTATTGTTACACTGCCTCCTGCCCTGAGAGGGGTGGCGAGGCTGCAGGAGGGGTGGGGAGAGGAAGGCCAGACTTGCAGCTGTGGACCCTGGAAGCTGCTACCCATGATGGTGATTTGTTGGCCATCGCTCTTATCCTTGGTTGTCCAAGGCAGAGGCTGCCAGCAATGAAAATAGAGGATGGAGAGAAGAAGGAGGGACAGGGGGCATCTAGAGGGAGAGTATGATACAATCAAATGTATTCAGTCGGTTCTCTTATCTACTGGTTCCGCCTCCACAGATTAAACCAACCGTGGATCCAAACTGTTAGAAAAAAATTTGCATTCGTACTCAACATGTACAGATTATTTTTTGGTCTTTATTCCCTGAACAATACAGTACAGCAACTCTTTACATAGCCTTTACATTGTATTAAGTATTATAAGTAAACTAGAGGTGACTTAAGATACATAGGAGGCTTGTGTGGGCTTTATGCAAATGTGCTAACATTTTTTATAAAGGACTTGAGTATCTGTGGGTTTTGATACCTGCAGTGGTGGTGAGGCCTGGGAGCCAGTACCCCAAGTACCCTGTGGGACAGGTATTCTCATTTGTTCTCCTGCTACTCCCTCCGTGCAGTGCTATGTGCCAGGTTCTCTTTTAGCTGCCACAAGCCACAGCTGTCCTGTTCTCAAGGAGCTCAGGTTCTCTTGGGAGGGGCTGATGGACAGCATATACGTCCACAGACAGCTGGCACTAGGGTTCGCCGAGCAATAAGGGGTAATTTAGGAGGTGGGAGATGGGAGGGGGGAGGTGGGCAGCTTGAGATAAAGTGGTCAGGAAGGCTACTTTGAAGAAGGACATTTGAACTGAGAGCTGAACGGCAAGGAGTCCACCACTCAAAAGACTGGGGCCAGGGTACTTCACACAGGAAGCAGCACAGGCACAGAGTCCCAGGCAGGGACAGTCTTGGCAAGTTCTAGGAACCGAGGTGATCAGCAAGAGTGAGAGGGGTCGGGGGGGTGGGCAGGGACTGGAGGGCAGGGCTGCAGTCCAAGTGTGGGTTTCGGTCGAAAGGCACCCGGTGGTTAAAGTGGGTGTGGTCTAGTGTGTCAGTTTCCGGGATGCTCTGGTGGTTATGGGGAATGGAGGGAGGTGAGAGGAGGCAGGAGTCGTCCCAGCGGGGGACGAGGGTGGCTGGAACCATGGAACGGTGGAGATGGAGGGATACGGCGAGGTTTGGAGAATGTGTTGGATGTAGAGTCACCAAGACTTGCTAGTGAGTTTAGGGCTGCGGGGCAGAGGGACTGAGGGAAATCTAGGGCAACTCCAGTGTTTTTACAGAACCGTGACTAGTAAAGGCTTTGGAGGAAAGATTCAGGGTTACCGAAGTCCAAGTTACAGGTGCTTGATCTGGTGTGGGGTGAGCTGGGCATGGGGGATTCCTGAGGAAGTGACATTGAAGCTGACCAGAGATTAAGGACCAGCAGTGCCCTTTGGTTGGATTTCTTTCCATACGATAATGAGTAAGAGGTGAAGTGTTCATGCTAAAAATGCACTGGTAACAGCTAAAAATACCTGCTTTGTTCCTGAGAGTCTGAAGTGAAGAAAAAGTGTCATTAGGGATCCCATCGACATCGACGCAAGGGCTTTTGAGGTCTGGGAAGCCCTGCGGCGGTAGGGGTTGGGCCGATGATTTGCTGCAGAGGTAGAGGTTGGGCCGATGCCCGTGCATGGTGGTACCTGCTGTGTCTGCCCTCTCCACGGAGCAGGCCTTGCCTGGGGTGGGAGTCAGTCTTTTTTATGAAACTGGGGATGGATGTAGGATTATGGCTTAATTCACAGGCCTTTCTTCACTGAGATTTCCCCCTTCCATCTTCCCTGCATCTCCCTTTTTTGTAATAGCGGGGATTGAACCCAGGGCCTCATGGATGCTAGGCAAGGGCTCTACCAGTAAGCTACATCTCCAGCCTCTCTTAGTCTCTTTTGAAGGAGATGGCCTTTTGTCTTTGGGAAAGATGAGGGAACAGTACTAGAGTGCTGGAGGTTATGGGCTACAGAAAAATGTCATTATTCTGTATGATTATTATCACAACCTAAAAATGCCTACAAGCTTAATAACTAAGGATTGTTGCTATGTTGGAGTACTGGCTGGACGAGGATGTGTGTGTTTTCCAAGTTCTTCATGTCATCTGTAGCCCTTATTCCCAGAAAGTCTAATCTATTGTCTCTATTACAGGCAGCATTCCCTTTTAGGCAGTGGACAGCCACCCATCCGTCTTCTTTTTATTTTTGCTGTTTTGAGACAAGGTCTCGCTATATAGTTCAGGCTGGCCTTGAACTTGATATATAGCCCAGGCTGGTAACTCAGTGTTACCCCTGCCTCAGCTTCCTGGGTGCTGGGATTACAGGCATGCACCACCACGCCCAGCCAGGCAAAATATATTTGTAAAGCCTTTGTCAGAACAGCTCTTGGAAAGGTGAAGTCATGCCTGTGTACTGTCAGGATGATTACTGTCTGCATAGATATCACCCTACTGTCCAGCACACAGGTCAGTTTGACCAGGTCGGAGTTGTAAGATGTGTGTGTACCCGGCAGCAGTCAAAGGGTAAGGTTTGCAAGCCCAAGCTGGGCCCCATTTTGGCGCATTTGCAGCAGGTTGCATTTCTGACTTTAGTAGCAACTGACTAGCAGAGTAGCTTTATAAGCAAAGTAATCTGAGAAAGAGAACAGAACAACAGGGAGAAAGGTTCTGACCACTGAAGGGCAGTGGGACAATTTTCTGTCCCCTACAAGTGTTTGGGGGGCAGCAAGTACCCTGGAGGGGATGGTGAGGATGACAGGACCTCTCGGGCCGTGTTTTAGGTACTGTGATAGCTGGCGAAATAGCCAGAGTTTTCCTTACAGGTGAAGCTGACTCTGTCTTCGTTTGGAACTATTGGTCACATTCATTCTTCATTTCTTAGCTTTTGGGAAACAGGTGTATGTACCTCCCACCCTCTCCATAGCTTCTTGTGACGATGATCCCACTTCTGTGACCACCAATCATGACTATCAACTTGACTGAGTTGAGAGATGTCTGGGAGTTTTGTAAAACACACTTCTGAGTGTGTCTGGCTGGGTCTCGTCATGAAGCTGGGGCCTCTGTCTGGTCCCCGGTTATTTCCTCTGTGGAGCCCTTCCCCTACTCACTTCTGGGATGCCATGAGCTCCTGTCATGGTGTTCCTGCCTCGGAGTCAGCAGACGTATGCTGAAACCTCTGTGACAGTGGACCAATGAAACCTTGCCTTCTGTAAGTTGTTGGTGTCAGGTATTTTGTCCCAGCAGTGAGAAAGCTGACCGATACATTTCCTTTGTTCCTTAAGTCTAAAATGAGGGCTGAAGAGGTAAGTCAGTGAGTGCATGCTTAGCATGGGCAAGGTCCAAGGCTCTATCTTCAGTACTGCAGAATAAATCAAATAAATAAGCTTAGCTTATCCTGTGTTTCTTTTTTTTTTCCTCTCCCAAACCACACATCTCTTGCTACCTGGCACAGATTTGGGGCTCAAACTAAAGGTCACTTTCCTGAGCCAATTTAATATAATGCAGTCTGTGAGAAAAATGCAACCCTGCTTGGTTTTAGGAGGCTGAGAAAAAAATGAAGAAGTCAACAAAAAATATCTTTTTTCATTTGTTTGCGTAAATGTGAAACCGGGATTTGGAAATTACCCAAAGACAAAAATACATCCTACAGGCCGATTTTATGCCTAGGTCAGCGGTGAGAGAAGGGGTAAGGAGGACTGGAAGAGAAACAAGGTAGCAAGGGACCCTCAGACTGAGGTCCAGGGCTGCCTGGCCCCAGCCATTCCCCTGGGTCTCCCAAAGGGGGAATCAGCCAGAGGCAGTGATCAGAACCAAATGTCACTTCAAACATAAAACCCCGGAGGTAACTGGGGTTGTAGCTCCATGGTAGAGTGCTTGCCTAGCATGTGTGAGGCCCTGAGGTTTGATCCTCAGCACTGCAAAACAAAAAAACCCATTGGCATCTATTTTCTAAAATCACTGTGACCTCCTGATGACCCATGTCCATTCTGATAACCGGGTGGACTGGCAGCAGGCAGATCCACAGGCTCACCTGGGGTAGCGCCCCTAGGTCCACATTCTTGCTAGTTTCTGGCTTTTCCTATTTTGCTTGCTTAGTGGAAAACCACTCACGCAGGATTAGTGCTTGCCACAGGGACTTGGGTCCTGATGCCTGCTGAGGTGTCCCAGCTGATGGCCAGTGGTGAAGGTGCAGATTACAGGGCCAGGATGCCACCAGGGAATTGTTCCAAAGCCCCAAGGAAGTGGGTGCAGATTTTAGGATAATTTAACACAGTGTGCAGAAATCCCTTATGTCTTGGAGAATGGTACGTTATACAATTAGGGAAATGAAACTGGAGCACCCACCTGGGAGATAGAAGTTGTGCTTCACTTTTGGAGACTGTGGTTGAACTATGGGAGGGTCAAATTTATAAGAATTGAAAAATATAAACAGTTGGGCATGGGGGTGTGGGGGTGTACACCTGTAATCCTAGCACTTGGGAGGCTGAAGCAGGAGGATTGTTGTGAGTTCAAGACCAGCCTGGGCTACAAGGTGAGTTCAAGACCAGCCTGAACTGCATAGTGAGACCCTATCTCAAAAAAAAAAAAAACAAAATAAAACAAGAAAAATTAATCAGAATTGAGAAATATAAATAAACAGTTGGGCATGGGGGCATGGTGGCACACATACCTGTAATTCCAGCACTCAGAAGGCAGAGGCAGGAGGATCCCTGTGAACTCAAGGCCAGCCTGGGCTACAAAGTGAGCTCAAGGCCCACCTGAACTGCATAGTGAAAGCTTGCCTCAAAAAGACAAAAAAGAAAAGAAAAATATAAGTAAACAATATGCACAGCTACTGTGAAACAAGCAATGCCTCCCTCATACTAAAGATCACAGGAGTGGTGATGAGCTCAGATTCACTCTGTTACGTAAGAGCTGTGCATCCTTTAGCAAGTTACTTATCCTCGCTTTGCTTCAGTTTCCCCTTCTGTAAAGTGGGTATTATACTGGCTGGTATGTGTAGGAATAGATCAATGCGTGCTCAGGCCTCAGAGTGATGCCTGTTCCTAGTAAATGTGTTTCAGTGTCAGCCACTGTTGCTATTAGCTGCTGTTTTCTGAGATCTATTCTTCATCCTTTCAATAAGGGGTGGGGGACTTGAGCAGTTCCGATGCCTGGCCCTTGCTCACCTCCTCTGACATAGGATCTCTAGGAATAAGGTCTGGACATAGAGCGCTGCCTGGGTGGCTCTGAGGCACTAGGTGACCGGCAACCAGAGGGAAAGGTGGTCGCCAAAGCGCTTCAGCCTGAAAGTTGGCACCCTGCCCTTCCGTCTGGAAGGCTGAGCTGCAGACCCCAGCACTACTGTGGGATTAAACTTTCTTCTTCACCGATTGCCTTCGTCACTTTCTCATGGCTGGGACAAAATGCCCAGCACCTACAATTAAAGGAGCAGAGGTTTATTCAAAAGTGTTTCAGTGCGTCTCATTCTGGAGACCCCAGCTCCAGGGCAGGATGGAATGGCACAGGGGCGTGGTGGAGAAATAGCGGCTCACCTCATGGCAGCCAGGAAGCAGCATGCAGAGTGGAGCTGAAGAGGGTGAGCTGCCTCTTCTAGTCAGGCCTCACCTCCTTACAGCACACGGAGCCGGAAACTCATCATTGAACTAATCCACCAATGAGTACAGCACCCCGAGATCCAACCTCCTCCCCAGAGCCCCGCCGATGAGCACACAAGGCTTTGGGGGTGATCTAGATGTGAACCATAACCCCTATTTTTTTTAGGTAAAAGTCTTCAACATAAAATTAACTATTGTACTTTAAAAAAATATATATATTTTTTTGCTTTTGCTTTTTTGAAATGGGGTCTTGCTATGCTCTCCAGGCTGATCTTGAAGTCCTGGGCTCAAGCAACCCTGCTGCCTCAGCCTCCCAAGTAGCTGGGATTACAGGTGCATGCCACCACAACTAGCTAAATTATCCACTGAAAACCGTACAGTGCAGTGGCATGCACCATCACAATGCTGTGCAACCCACACTGCTTTCTGTTTCCTAATCATTTTTAAGGCCCAGAGAGAGAATCTGGTGCCCAGCAAGCTGTCGTACTCCTCCTTCGTCCACCAGCCCCTGGATCACCAGTTTGCTTCCTGTCTTTCTGGTTTTATCTATTTTATGTCACATAAAGGGAATTATACAACATGGGGCCTTTTGTGCTTGGAGTCTTGCTAAGTATTTAGCATCATATTTGCAAGTTTCCTTCACCCTGCCTCAGGAGTCTGATCCTTTTTGCAGCTGAGTCGTATCCTACACTGTAGATCTACCACATTCTGTTTACCCACTGATCTGTTGAAGGGCAGTTGGGTTGTTTCTACATTTTGGCTCTTGGGAACAGGGCTGCTAGCAAGAACATTTATTTTACATCTAAGTATCAATCGAACAGTTGTTTTCAATTCTTCTGGGTATCTACCCAGCAGGGGAACTGCTGGGAATGCATATACAGTGGTAATTGTGAATGTAACTTTTCAAGGGACCACTAAGCGCTTTACACGTGATGACACTTTCACCTCTCTTCTTTGTCCTCACAGATCTTCCTTGACTTGTCCCCACTGCCTGAAACAGAGCAACACCTTTGACCCCTTCCTGTGCGTGTCCCTTCCTATCCCCTTGCGCCAGACGAGGTATGTGACAGTTGCCGCTCGCCCAGGGCTCTTGGCTTCCCTCTTGCTGGTTACTGATGGCGTCTGTCTGACCTTGAACCTGCCCCTCTTCTGTTTTGCTTCTCACTGAGCCTTTCTTCCTCCAGAACCCAGCCTCACAGCCAGGTGACCTTCAGTTACTGAAGGTGGCAGTGTGAAAGTTTGCTGCGGGGAGAATGAGCCCTGGGGCAGCAGAATTGGGTCTGACCCTGGGCTGTGTATCAGCGCTGTTGCCAGTGTTGATCTTTGGTCCATTCAGGAGCTGGAGCAGGCCGCTTGGCGGGACAGGGACCAACCGGACCCAATTGGTCACTGCCTCCTTTTCCTGCTTTATTTCAAAATTCTTTTGCTTCTTTGTGAAGATGTGGGAAGATGATTTCTTGAAGAAACAAAGAAAGGGGAAAGGGTTGTTTCGGGAGAGGAGACAAAGAAAAGCAGAGGCAGGGTTGGATGAGGGCAGGGGGCTCTCTGCCGTGCAAAAGCCAGAAGCAGCTCTTGCTGCTGCAGCCTCGCTGAAGCCAAGGCGCAGTGCTGTTGTGCAGTGCTGTGGAGGCAGCCGGCCAGGGTCAGTGCCCGAGCGTCAGGGAGCTCCTCCACAGGGAGCCGTCGCCGGCACTGAGATGGCCACTGGGTCCTCCAGCTCCGTAAGTGCCGTGCCTCCTGCCCTCCACCTGCCCGCTGTCTGTCTTCAGGATGCATAAAGCCCTTCACCGACAGCATATCCTCTTTCCCTCTTTGTCTTTTCTTTTCTTTTTTTGGTGCCTTGAACATGCCGGGCAAGCTCTCTACCACTGAACTACATCCCTTTTTAAAATTGTTCTTTGAGACAAGGTCTCACTGAGTTGCACAAGTTGTGCTTGCTTCGGCCGCACGCATACTCAGTTGAGCAGGCTGACCTCAGATGTGGAATCCCTGTCCCAAGCCTCCCAAGTAGTTGGATTATAGGCGTGCACTTCCACGCCTGGTTTAACCTCCCTTGCTATTCTGAAATCCTGCGCTGTCTATACCACCAATAAGCCTTATACTGTATGACATGACTTAGGCCACTGTCTCATAATGTCTATTGACAGCTGTGACTTGGCCTATGCGTGATAGTGCAGTGGTTAGGGTTGCTGACTCCGGGACATTCTGCCTAGGATCAAACCCAAGCTTTACTAACTAGCTGTGTCACTTGAACAGGACAAGAAAAACAGTAACCAGAAAACCAGGATAGGAGAAATAGTGGGAGGTAAAAGTCAAGGAAAAATTCATTAAGAAAAGGAGAAAATCATCCATAAGGTTGACTTGTCCTTAAAGAAGCAGTTTGTCTGCTTTATTTTTCAAACTTCACGGTTTATTTTTGCTGAATATTTATCCACTGGACAATTAGAGTCTTGCGATCAGAGATCCATATAGTGACTCTTCAAATATTTTCTGTTTTCAACTCTCTGGAAAACCAGTTTAGTAGATTTGACTCTCTACTTCCCCCTGGTGGGATATACTTAAAGTGCAAGGAGCCGACGGGAACCCAAGCCTGTGCTAAACTTGAGCCATTGTCGATGGTGTTGGTGAGACTTACCGACAGTCTATAAGGGTGTGGCCCCCTTTGTGTTTTCCAGGTTCTTGAGTGTCACGTTAGTCTTCCCCTGTAAGAGTCAGCGGTTCCTGCGGGTTGGCCTGGCCGTGCCAATCCTGAGCACAGTGGCTGCCCTGAGGAAGATGGTGGCGGAGGAAGGCGGAGTCCCTGCAGATGAGGTGTGATGGCATTGCACTGGGCCCTGGCCTGGGGGGTCAGGATGCTGACAGGCCGGCAGCCTGTGCTGATTTGTGGGCCCCAGGTGACACCAGGATGACTCACGATTTCTGTCTGATTCCTGGCCCCTGGTGTCTGCGGTGACTGGGCCTTGACGTCTGCCTGCCCCTTGTAGGGTAACCATGAAGGACACCTGCCTTTCTCGAAGGTGGTCGTGATACATAGCACCAACAGCAGCCATCCTCGTGCTTACCAAGTGCTGGACACTGTCCGCTGACCTTGATATTCAATTTTGTTCATAGTTGATTTCATGCCAGCCACTCTGTAAAGTAGACATTACAGTTGTCCTCATTGTGCTGGTAAGGAAAAAGAAGTCCTGAGGGGTTAAGTGCTTTGCCCAGGGTCACTCAGCTAGGAAGCCGCCGTCAGGGTTTGAACATAGTGGTTTGATTTCGCAGCCTGATTTACTGCTCTGTATTTTCATATGTGAGAATATAAACCAGGCTGCTGAAGAGATAGTAAATAAAATACAAAGAGTTGCTGAGAGATCTGAGGATGTCTGACATGGGGAAGGTTGGGGGGGCCTATGCTTTTTCAGTTTTGTTTTTAAGGAGTTTTGGTGAAGGGTTGGATTCACTCTGACTGGAGGGGCTCCTGTGGCGTGTTGGGGTAGAGGCAATGGTGGGCACAAGCCAGATGGCAGGAGTGGAGGGGCTCTGAGGAGGCTCTCACTGTGATCCAGTTACTCTCTGGCTCTCTGACCTTGGATCATGTGGTTGGTATCTTTATCTTTTATACTTCTCTGACTACCTCACTGGATTTTTGCTAAATAAAAAAAATATTTTTAACCTTTTTTGTTAAGGTGTAACATACTTACGGTGTGGACTTCCTAAGGCTGTAGTTTGTTGAATTTTACACCTCCCTGTGTCCATATAATCATCATGGTTACTGAGCCTTTCCAACACACCAGCTCCTTTCTGACACCTGCCCCACCAGGGCCTTTGACTTCCATCACTCCCTATAGGTTTTTTATGAGGATCTCAAAAAAGGGGGAAAATATGTATGTACCTTGCTTTCTAAATTCTAAAGCACACTAAAGTGCACTAGGGGACCTATTTGTGTGTGTGTGTGTGAGAGAGACAGACAGACAGACAGAAATGCAGAGAAGCAGAGTGGCACACATATTTGGGGGAAACGAGCAGTAAAAAAGAACCAAAGAGGAATATCCGCGAGAAGTAGAATTTGAATAATAGTAGGATGTCAGGAACGTGAGCAATGTGACATGTTTGTTCAGCGAGATAGAAATCTCTGGGGATGTTTGTATGAATATTTTGACTAGAACTTAGAATCTATCTTGATATTTTTACGTGGCAGTTTATTCCACGTGTTTTCTACAGTCATAGATCTGTCTCTGTGCATTCCCACCACCTTATTTCATGTTTTTCATTTACTCAACATTTTCTGATTTTTTTTGGGAGGGGAGGATCTTCCTCCTCTCACTCCTTTATTGCTTTTTATGAATTGAGCAATTTTTCTTTATTTTATGTCTTCTGATTTGGGACCCCCATATTATATTTCCTTTTACTATTTATTAAATGTCACCATGTATAATTAACAGAGTATAATGTTATATTACACAGTGCAAGGATCCTGATATGCTTTTTTTTTTTTTTTTACTTTTTTGACTTAGGTGTTGTAGGTAGATATTATTCTTCTGTAATGACTCCTCCCTTCCCACTTGTAAAAATTTTATTGTTATGTTTTACATAGTCAGTGCATGTTTACATTTGCCAAATTTCACCATTTTCTTTTAAGTTATCAATTTTTACCTTACTGTCAGGTTTTAATTCTGATGGTTGTTGTTTTGTCTAATCCTGAAATATATCTTTTACAAGATAATTTCCTAGTTGATGTGCCTTAAGTGGGTTCTGTGAGTCATGTGTTCAGATGTTAATTCCTTTGTCCTTGGCAAATCAGGGTTGAGACTGGATTAGCCAAGACTCCCAAAGTAGTCACCACTTTCCTCCCTTCTCCAGTATAAAACCATCCCCATAAACCTGTATTCTGTAAACATTTTTCAAGTAAACATAGTATGAAAAAGGTTAGTAACACTGTTTTTTTTTTTTTTTTTTTGGTTTTGGTTTTTCTCCGGTACCGGGAACCGAGTAACACTGTTTATATGTTCACTCAGTGGAGCTTTATAAGTAGTAAACAATTTTGTTTACCTGAAGAGGGCTTTATTTAATTCTAATTCTTTCATATAGTTTAGCTGGGTATAAAACTAGATTTATACTATACATCTAGTATAAGCTAGATTATATATTTTTTTTTCTGGGCATGGTTGCACATGCCTGTAATCCAAGTATTTGAGAGGCTGAGGCAAGAGGATTGCTGTGAGTTCAAGGCCAGTCTGGGTGCCATAGTAGGTTCAAGGCCAACCTGAACTGCATAGGGAGACCCTGTCTCTAAAAAAAAATTCTCGTTTGGTTGCAGATGAGATGTCCACAGTCAATCTGTTACACACTGTATTTTATTACTTAAAATGTGTGACCACTTAGAAAGGAGGGGTGAAAAAGACTTTTAAGGCTTTTAGTCATTTTGGTTTCTTATCTGTTAGGTTCTCTTTGAGAAATCAAGAGGGAAAATGGTCTTTCTCATTCCAGGTGATCTTGGTTGAACTGTATTCCAATGGATTCCAGCGGTCTTTCTTTGATGAAGAGGACCTGAATACCATAGCAGATGGAGATAACGTGTATGCCTTCCAAGTCCCTCCGTCTGCCAGCCAAGGGACACTCTCAGGTACAATAGTGTCTTGCATAATTTTATTTGGATATTATTGGTTGTAGGTTTGAGACAGTCCTCTTTGGTTGCTAAGGCCTAAAACATTTACTTCTAGTGTGTGGAACTGTCAGGCTTATTTTCCCTGCAATTTGGTGTGCAGGGTGTTGATTGATGGTTGATATTAAAAATTGTTTAGCTAATACTGAGATTCTCAAAACATTAGTGAATATTAGAATTACCCAGAGAGGGTCAGGGGATTTAGCTCAGTGGCACAGCACCTGCCTGGCAAGCCGAGGTTGTGAGTTTGATTCCCGGTACCAGGAAAAACAAACAAACAGACAAACAAACAAAAAAAACCAAAGAATTACCCAGAGGTTTTGTTAAATCAGATTTCTGGACCCCACCCCCCGAGTTTCTGATTCCATAGGCCTGGGGTGGGGCCTGAATTTGCATATTTTACAACTTCCCAGGTGATGCCAGTCCTGGGATATTTTGGGAATCACTGGCTAGTGTAGGTGCTGGTATAATCTTTATTTTTGGGACTCATGATTTAAGGTCTGTGCTTGAAATAAAATTTCTGAAAATTTGAGTGGCCAAAGAAATTAGAAAATAATTTTCTTGTTAATAGTTATACTTCATAATGCTTTTTTTTCTTAAAACTCACACTAGTTAACATGATCATTTTTTTTTTTTTTTCTTTTGAGACAGGCACTTGCTATATAGTTCTGCTGGCCTTGAACTTCCTATGCAACCCAGGCTGGCCTTGAACTTGGGGCAATCCTCCTGCCTCAGCCTCCCAAGTACTGGAATTACAGCCATGTGCCACCACTCCTGGCGACATGGTCAATTTTAATAGCCTTTCATTATCAGCAATATATATTTTGGCCCATTTAGCCAGTGGGCCAATACTAGGAGATCAATATTAAAGGACCATGCACCAGTGTTACAATATACAGCAACCCCCTTGATCTATGATTTCCCTTTGTGCAGTTTCGGTTACATGGTCTGAAAATATTAAATGGAAAATTCCAGAAACAAAAATGCATTTTTGTGTTTAGTCTTGTTTTTTCCATGCTGGGGATCAAATAAAGGGCTCCATGTATGCTAGGCTCTACTCCTGAGCTGCATCCTAGCCCCATACTCCATAAATTTTAAATAACTTTATTGCAGTATATTATTGTAATTATTTTGTTGTTGTTGATGTCTTATTATACCTAATTTATAAATTACACCCTAACATAAGAGCAGATATATAGGAAAAAAATAGTATATATAAAATTTTTTGTAAGAGTTTGGTACTTTGGTTGTTTTCTGAGGTTTTAGACATCCCTGGAATGTCTTGGAGTGTGTCTTTCTCTAATAAAGGGTGACTAGTGTGCCTCAGATGAGTCCTGTGCCCTGGCCCCATACCACGAGCCAGTTTAGGTAGCAGCCTATGGGGACTGGATGTTTGATATTCTCGGAGACAACATGGAAACTCTGGGCATTGGAATCTGGGACAGAATGTTGACTGACCCTGTTTTATAACCCAGTGAAACAAGTCTTCATTTCTAATTTAATGATGAGTGACATATACTTTCCTGAAAGTCACAATTCAGATTGGACATGGAGAATAGTGAAGCCCTACTCCTTTCTCCATGGGAGCCTTTTACCTTCTCAGTGTACTTCTTATGTTGGCTTCCTAAGACTGTGTATCTCTGGGAGCTGTCTGGTCAAGGCAAAATCCCAAAATTAATGATCTAAGCATGGTGCTGTAGTCCCAGCACTTGGGAGGCTGAGGCAGGAGGATCACTGCGAGTTGAAGGCCAGCCTGGGCTACAAAGTGAGTTCAAGTCCAACCTGAACTGCATAGTGAAACCCTGTCACAGAAAACAAACAAACAAACAAAAACCCCACAAAAAACCCGAAATTATTTTGGGGTATTCAGATTGCTTTGGAAAGAGTTCCCTAAACCCTTGCCCTTATTCTAACCTTATTGGCTGGCTTAACTGCAGACTCACTACCATGCATCTGATGTGTGTATGCCCGGTGACAGCACAAGTGCCACGAACCTTTTCATCTTCTCCCAAAAGCCACCAGTGTCCTCCCACTGGTGGCAAATAGGTGCCCAGAGAGAAAGAGGGCTGGGAAAGCCGAGGCTGTGGCCCACTGCAGGGCTCTTTAACGCCGTTCTCGCCCCCAGCTCGTCCGCCAGGTCTGCCAGTGTCCCCGCACCTGGCGGCCCGGGAGGGCCAGCGGTTCTCCCTGCCTGTCCACAGTGAGAACAAGGTGCTCATCCTCTTCTGCAACCTCGCGGGCTCCGGCCAGAGTGCTAGCAGGTATGTTTAACTTCGTCCTTTTTTCACACAGTGCCTGGGATTTGTAGACCTCTACTTGGGATTTTGTCTAGAACAATTCCAGCTTGATAAAATTAAATAACTATCCCCAAGATTAATAAAGTAGGAGAGGGGAACAGGGTACTTCTGGAGCAAGAGGACCAGAAATAATTGCTTTAAGCAGATGGTTCACATTACCCTTAATTAAACATTCAAGCTTTTCTGTTAAGGGAAGCAATAATTACGATGGCCCTCACTGCTGTTATTTTATGCAGTATTGTGTTGTAAAGGGCTAGTGGCACTGGGCATGGTGGCGCACGCCTGTAATCCCAGCACTGGGGAGGCTGAGGCAGGAGGATTGTCGCAAGTTCGAGACCAGCCTGGGCTACAAAGTGAGCTCAAGGCCAGCCTGAACTGCATAGCCAGACCCTGTCTCAAAAAGTAAAACAAACAAACAAACAAAAAACCCCAAAACTGGCAGTGGGGTAAGCAAGGCTCAAAAAGAAGCTGACTATAAAAAGGAGGAGCTGCTTGGATGACTCAATGAGAGATCCTGTCTCAAAAGGAAAGGGAAGTTGGGCACAGTGGGGTGTGTGTCTGTAGTCCCAGCTGTGCGGGAGGTTGAGGAAGGAGGCTCAGGATCCAAGGCTGGCCTGGGAAATATGACAAAACAACAAAACAAAACAAACCTCTAAGAGCTAGAAAGTGATGACAGCTAAAAGAGGGAAAGAGACTGTTTAATTACAAACTTGCAACGACAGGTAGCTTTTTTATATAGTCCAAATGAAGTGATTGCGAAGAAATGATGAATGTTTGAGGTGATAGATATTCCAATTACTCTGATTTGATTATCTCATGATGTGTGGAAACATTACATTGTAGTCTATAAATATGTATTGTTGGCTGGATGTGGTGGTGCACGCCTATAATCCCAGCACTCAGAAGGCTGAGGCAGGAGGATTGCCATGAGTTTGAGGCCAGCCTGGGCTACATAGTAAGACCCTGTCTCAAAAAAAAAAGTATATGGAACAATAAAGTGCTAAGAATAGTCAGAAAATGTTGGGGAAGAGGGAAAGGAAGAATAAGAATTAGTCTATTGAAACAATAAATTTTAATTATTAAAATATTGTGACATGGAAAAAAGAATATATACTTAACCAAACAAAATAAACCAAAGTCTTTAAATATTTATTAAATGGTAAAACAATATATTTCATATTTTATGTAATAAAACAGTGAATGAATTATTCAGTAAGTAAGGCCAAGCTAGTTGATTTCTTTCTATTTTAAATTATTACTTTTTAATTTTTTTGTGGTGCTGGAGATTAAACCCAGCACCTCTGCACTGAGCTGCATCCCCAGCCCTTTTTAATTTTTTATTTTGAGGTAGGGTCTTGCTAACTTAAACTGCACAGGCTGGGGTCAAACGTGGGATCTTCCTGCCTCAGCCTCCCAGAATACTGGGATTATGGTCGTGTGCTACCATATTCAGCCAAAAAATTACTTTTTTACTCTTGACATAAATTCATCTGTGTAAGTCCCAGATTGATTAGAAAGATATCTTTGAAAAGGAACCTTAAGGTATCTTTAAAAAGAATGGGCATGGTGGTACATGCTTGTAGTTCTAGGACTCGGAGGCTGAGGCAGGAGGATCATCAGGAGCTTGAGGCCAGCCTAAACTAGAGTGAGATCCCATCTCTAAAAATGAAACAAAACAAAATATACAAATTTTAAAGAAAATGTAGGGGCATATTTGTTTCTCTGGCTGGAGGGGGCTATTTGAACACATTCATGATGGGGCCACAATTTGTATGTCTCACTGCTGGCTGGCTTGAACCATGGTGGTACATGCGTGACTGTCCTACCTACGTCACCAGTGGTGCAAGCGCCTCTGGTGGGACAGTCATGCACATACTGGTTCAAACTGGTGGGAATGTATTAACACCCCTAAACAGGAGTTATAAAGGAGAAGGCTGATGTTTTAAATATATTTAACATTCACACTAAGAACAAATGTAAAGACAAAGGACAAATGAGGAAGAGTATTTGTCATGTGCAGGGTAAAAGATTCATATTCATCATGTAAAACCTAGAGCTCTCTCAGTGAGATAAACACTCTGTCAATAGAATGACCATAGGGCCGGGGGTATAGCTCCGCGGCATAAGCACTTGCCTGGAGAGCCTGAGGTCATGAGTTCAATTCCCAGTACCTAAAATAAAATAAAATGACCATAGAAGCTGGATGTGATGCCACACACCTGTAATCCCAGGCTTGGGAGGCTGAGGCAGGAAGATTGCCATGAGTTTGAGGCCAGCCTGGGCTACATAGTAAGTTTAAGGCCAGTCTGAATTACATAGTAAGACCCTGTCACAAAAAAGCAAAAAAAAACAATAAAAACCAAAACAAAACAAAGATTAACATGAGTTCGCAAGAGAAATACATTCCCAGGTTGAAATATTCAGCATCATTAGTAGTAGGGGACATTTTGATTGCAATAGCAAGATGGTATTCTTTTTTTCTTTGTTTTGTTTTGTCTTGTTTTTGAGATGGAAGTATAATTCAATTTGACCTTGAACTCACTATGTGACCCAGGCTGGCCTTAAACTTATAGTCTCAGCTGAGGCTACACTCCCCAGTGTGGGGATCACAGGTGTGCACTACCACTCCTGGCTCAATAGCAAGATACTATTCTTTTGTTTGTTTGTTTTGATTTTTTTTGTCTTTTTTTTTTTTGAGACAGGGTCTCGCTCTGCAGTTCAGGCTGGCCTTGAGCTCACTTTGTAGCCCAAACTGGTCTAGAATTTGCAATGATCCTCCTGCCTCAGCCTCCCAAGTGCTGGGATTACAGGTGTGTGCCACCGTGCCCGGCTGTTTGTTTGTTGTGAGACAGGGTCTCACTGTGTGGTTCAGGTTGGCTTTAAACTCTCTATGTAGCTCAGGCTGGCGTTGAACTCACAGTGATCCTCCTGCTTCAGCCTCCCTAGTGCTGGGATTACCGGCTAGCAAGATACTAGTCATCACCTTTCAGATAGTTAAGGAATTTTTAGAAATTGATAATATTCATTCTAGGCAAGACTAAAGCTAATCTTTGTTTTGTTTTGTTTTTTCTTCTGTATGAGAAATCGGAACCAAGACATTTACACTGAGCTATATCCCCAGACAACTCTTATTTATTTTTTATTTTGAGACAGGGTCTTGCTAAGTTGCCCAGGCTGGGCTTGAACTTGAGATCTTTCTACCTCAGCCTCCTAGAATTCTGGGGTTACAGGAATGTACCATCACTATTTACCCAGGGAATTGGTACTTACCTTATTGCTAAATTGGTATGGCTTTTTTGGAGGACAGTTTGGCAATAAAGAACTTCGGTCTACCTTTTCACTCCTGGAACTTTATCCTGTAGGAACAGTTGGTTACGTGCAGCCAGAGATGCATTTACAAGAAAATGTATACTTCCTACTATAAGCAAGCATTGTTTACATGAAAATGAGCAGCAAACAGAATGCTTAGCGACACAGGAGTAGTTAAATGAACAGACCTGCCCACTCAGCCGGTGCACAGTGCCTTTCCCTGTCCAGACACATCACCTCATATTTGTGCCGCGTCTTGAGCGGTGTTTCCAGAACAGGTTCACGTTCTTACGTCATTGGTCTTCACACGGCCCTGGAACAGTGCGTGGCCAGTGATTTGTCCAGCAGCACTCACGGCACAGCCGTGTTCCTTGTACCGCACGTTCACTGTGGTGTGTTTATCAGGGTGGGATGTGGGAAGCAGTCCCAGTACTGAGAATGTCCCTGATGCGCAGAACCTACCGCTGTGTCGCCTGGGTTTCTTCTGGTTCTCTGCGGCTCTCCTGCCGTTCTCCCCACCATGAGGAGGGGGCTTCCAGCCAGCCCAGCACTTGGAGCAGCTGTTGGCCCTGCTGCGTGTCACTGCTTTGCCTCTCCGGCCCTCGGTTTGCCTGCCCGTGTCTCCCTGTGTAATGCGGGACACTGACTGGTAACTGTGTTTTGTGCTTGACTCTAAATTCTTCACTTGCCTAATTCAGGGGAAGCCAGGAGTGGAGCAGTACTGGTGACTGTTTCCTTCGCTGAAATAACCTGATTTCCTTGGATTTCCAGGTTTGGGCCACCTTTCCTGATAAAGGAGGACAGAACCATTTCTTGGGCCCAGCTCCAGCAGTGTGTCCTCAGTAAGGTCCGCTACCTCATGAGGAGCGAGGCCCCTGCACAGGTAGGGTGCATGCGTGCATGCGTTCACATGTAGGTGTCTGCATGTGTGTGCGTTGGGAGGAAAGTAGAATCTGGAGGTATCTCAGGAGAGGGAAGAATTTGCTGTGAATTACAGGGCTTTTTACCATGCGACTTTGATTTACGTGCAAGGGAGTAAACCACTTTACCCCCTTAATGTTTTAATCTTTGTGCTATTACAAAATACATTTCATAGCCTGACTTTTTTCTTGTTAAGTCTTTCCAAACACCACTGGAATAGAGAGCAGTATTTACATTATTATTCTCATTTTTGTATGTTTGTGATTTTCCACAGTGTTCCTTGGAGGATGGCATCCTATAGTACATTGTAACTTACACATTCAGATCAAAAATTTCAAAGGACTTGAGATATAATTTCTGTGGCAAATTAAAGTTCATGACTATATCTGTGTGTAAAAATCTAGACATTAAAATGAATTTGTCCAGTTTTTCAGCAACTTGAGATTTAAAGCTCAAAGGCAAACACTTTGCCATGTTTATTTATTTATTCTCGGATTGATAGTTTTCAAATTTTAAAAACCACATTTAAAATTCATTTTTTTTGTTGTTGTTGTTGTTTGAGACAGGGTCTCACTATGCAGTTCAGGCTGGCCTTGAACTTACTTTGTAGCCCAGGCAGGTCTTTATCTTACAGCAGTCCTCCTGCCTCAGCCTCCCGAGTGCTGGGATTAGAAGCATGTGCCACCATGCCTGGTTTTTAGTGCCTATAAAGCCACTGATGTTTTAGCTCCTATAATATCAGAAGCCACTCTGGTGGCAGCCTGGCAGGGAAGATGTCAGAAGTTTTAGGGACAGGTCAGTCACATCAGAACCTTATTACTCCCCAGCTATTCTCTTAGAACGAGCCTTTTGCTTGGGTGACAAACTTACTTCAGAGATAATTCCTCTTAATTCAGGTTCCTTTCTGCTCAGGGGAAAAAAAAAAAAAACAAACCCGTACATTTGATTTAGAGTTTATACCAAATACCACTTCCTTAAAGACCTCCACAACATTTGTACCAGCCTTTATCTCTATAGAGTTTTATGTGGTGCATTACAGAGTAGCTCTGCCACAGTGCCTGATTTAGAAACTAACTTCTCTACAAGTAGGTCAGAATATCTAGTAATAGCTTTAGCCAGCCCCCAGACCTGTGTGCGGCTGATTGTTGAAGTGGACGAAACCACTTTCATATGAGCATTTATCTTATAAATGCTCATATCTGTACTCCTTCTTTACCTCATCACATACACATAATTTTGGCTTCTGTGTCTCCATTGTCATTTCAATTTTAAGACCTGACCAAGCCATCAAGAGAGCCAGCGACATTCAAAATGGGAAAGCTCCATGTGGCCTTGGACACTGGCCCATAGATTCACTAGTAAATGTATGGTTGGGCATGGTTTTCTGTAGAAATAATCTGTTCCCAAAAATTATGAGGTTCCCAGGCAAGTCCACCTGCTTAACCCACGGGTCTTTTCATAGCGTATGAAACATTGACTCAGTATGTTAATAACTGGAAAAGAATAAATTCAGAATCCTCAACCTTGAGCTGAAAAGATGAAGCATAGTGAACGTGTGTTGTTGCCTCTAAAATGAGCTGGCTTAGCCCAGAACAGAGGACAGGAAAATGTTTCTTGTGAAAACATAGTTTGTGGGAGAGAAGTACTTCGCATGAGTTCTGAAGAAAAGGCTTATCATCATGGAAACATGTCTGTGGTCATCCTGCTAATGTTGGGGGGCTGGCAAGGTTGCTTTGTTCGTGTGCAAGCAGTTGTGTCTTGTCAATGTTAGCTAGGAGTTAGGAGTCTTAGAGGGAAAGGTTTCCCACAGATTGAAGTCACCGTTCTTTTCAGGAGGCACACTCTTCTCTGGCCGGCTCTGTCTCAAAGCTTGAAGTCAGCTGGCTTCCAGTTATTGGTTTTCTCTCTCGAAGCTGTACATCAACTAGAAGATGGGTGTAGCCCAGGTAGATGTACACATCCCCCTAATTCACACTCAAGACCCTTGTACTCGTTAGCTTCCTGTCTCTACAGTGAAAGACCAAAGGAAACTAATTTAGAAAGAGGAGAGATTTACGTAGATCACAGTTCTGGAAGTCCAACAACATGGCACCTGCACAGACTTGGTTCCGCTGAGGGTGGCAGATGATGACACATCCTAGTGGGAATATGTAAGAGCAACGCTGTCAAAGCTCCAAGTGGAGACAGATGGACAGATGGACGGATGGGCAGACAGACAGACATGCCCACGATGACCAAAGGACCTCTCACAAGGCTGCATATTCCAAAAGTTCTATCACCACCAGATACTATAGTGATATCCTGTGGACCAAGACTTTAATTCTGATAGACCCTTGGGGGACAGTTAAACAAGTATCTAAGCCACAGCAACCCTCTCCAACCAGGTTCTGGCTCATCTGCTGAGCCTGGGTCCTGCTGTTCCCTGCCGTCAGCTGCATATCTGGAGGAGTCTGCCCACACCTTCCTCGGTCTGGGTCTTTCTGTCCTCCCAAGCGCTGAGTCGTCCTCTTTCCTGGAATTCTAGTGCTTTCTTTTTCTTCTTGCATCATAATTCAATATATATATAGGTGTGTGTATGTGAGACATGGTCTACTATGTAGTTCAGACTGGCCTTGAATGCCCTGTGTAGCCCAGACTGGCCTCAGACTTGCAGTGATCCTCTTGCCTCCGCCTCCCAAGTGCTGGGATTACAGGTGTGCCCCACCATGCCTGGACTTTTTTGGTGTTTTTTTTTATTTTAAGAAAGCTCTAGACTGGACTCGAACTTATGATTTTCCTGCCTGAGACTTCTGAGTAGCTGGGATTTGGGTATGCACCACCATGCCCTGTTCATTTGTGTTTTTTAAGCAAAAGTGTCTGCCTTTGTACCTTTAAGTTGGAAGATTTTTTTTTTTTTGATTGTAGCCAAGGTCATCATTGATAACCTGTGAGCACTGTATTTCTTCTGTTTGAATGGCAACTCCATTGATTTTTAAAAAACTGTGGTAAAATATACATTTACCTTAACTATTTATAAGTGTGCATTAATTACATTTGCAGTATTGTGAGACCATTGCTGTTGCTTATATCCCCAACTTCTCATCATTTCTGACAAGAGCTCTGTCCGCTCTGAAGAACTCCTCATTCTTCTTTCCTTCATCTCCCCAGCCCCTTGTAATCACCATTTTACTTTCTAACTATGAACTTGCCTATTCTGGGTACCTCATGTATGTTAAGAATCATGTAATGCTTGTCCTTTTGTACCTGATGGTTTTTTTTTTTTTTTTTTTTTTTGTTCCTGATGTTTTTTACTAAGCATCCTGTTTTCAAGGTTTTCCATTTTATAGCATGTACCAGAAGCATGTCCTTTCCTCCTCCTCCTTCTTTCTTCATTTTTCCTCTTTCCCTCTCCTTCTCTCTCTCTCTCTCCCTTTGCTTGTACTGGGTATTGAACTTAGAGCCTTGTGCATGCTAGGAAAGTACTCTCTGCCACTGAGCTACCTACCCAGCTAAGGCGGTAGTTCAGGCTGAATGATTAATGAGTAGCACATAGGCAGTGGTGTCATGTGCCCCCTCCCACCCCAGAGATCAAACATATTTCCTTGGGGAAACCAAGGGTCTGTTGTATCACTGAACTACACCTCAGCCCATTCCTTTGGTTTTGGTTTTTGAGACAGGGTCTCGCCATGTAGTTCAGGCTGGCCTCAGACTTGCTGTGTAGCCGAAGCTGGCCTTGAACTCATGGCCATCCTGCCTTAGCTCCCCCCTCCATTACAGGTATGTGCCACCACACCCTGCTCTTTTATTTTTGAGATGAATAAAATTCCATTGTTAGTCTGCATCACATTTTGTTTACCCATTCATCTGTTGATGTTCCTATCTTTGATTATCATGAATAATGTTGCTGTGAATATTGGTGAACGAATATCTGTGTGAGTCTCTGCTTGCAGTTCTTTGTGGGTGATATGGTAATTTTGGGTTTAACTTTTTGAGAACTATTTCTAAAACAAACTGCTAAACTATTTCCACAGCAGCTGAACTGTTTTACATTCCCACAGCATTCTAGTTCCTCCATGCTCTCACCAACACTTAGTATTTTCCTTTTTATTTTACTAAAAGTTTAAAATTATACACATCCTAGTAAGTGTGAAGTGGTTTTGATTTGCACTTTTATAATTACTAATGATATTGACCATTTTTTGGTGTGCCTCTTGATCATGCATATATCTTAGGAAAAGTATCTATTCAAGTCCTCTGCCCATTTTTGAATTGAATTCTTTTTTCCAGTGAATTAAGTCACCTTCAATTTAGACATCATGGATTATAACAGTCACTTCAATGCCACAAATGTTAGAATCTGATAAAATGTGTATTGAAATATACAAATATTATATTGTATGTAAAACATATATTAAGATGCTTTTAGATTTGCCTGAGTGTGATGATAATAATCATTTTAATAGAGTAGGTTAAGTCATCCATTAATACAGTGGTATTTTCATTCACAGACTTAGTTCTTTCCACAGTTCTGGTCACAAGCTGAACTGGTTGAGAACTGAATCAAATTTCCCCGTAGGGTCAACATTGAATTTGATTCGTTTCTCATCCAATTGATTTGTGACCAGAGTTATGGAAAGAATTAAGTTTGTGAACTAAAGTACCACTGTAACTGATTAATAATTGATTTATTTTCTGCTAACCCTATCAGTATCTGTTCCAGTTAAACACTTGTTTTTAAAATACAGTATGCTTCTTTTCAGGGGAGATTTAACATGTTAAACATAGTATTAGATCACTGTATTGAAAGATAACATGTGAATCTTAAAAAAACCTTTACATCTGTTGATTTTAAATACTAATTATTAAAGAAATGTTCAAAATACACTGTAGAAAAAGTGATTATTGAGTAATTTATATGATACTTACAGTCTAAATGAGGCTCTGTCTCCAAATACAAAGTTTTAAAAAGGGCTGGGAACGTAGCTCAGTGCGAAGGCCTTGGGTTCGATCCCCAGCGCTTAAAAGAAGAAGTCTAAATCAACACAAGGACTTCCTAACAGCCTGTCTCTGTTTTTATCTTGGCAGAACCTGGAGTCTCTGTTCTCCATCCGGGTTGTGGGGCTGTCCCTGGCCTGCAGCTACTTATCTCCACAGGACAGTCGGCCCCTCTGTCACTGGGCAGTTGACAGGTAAGGTGAGGCTCCAGGTTTGGTAAGAGAAAGAATGTGCTCTTATTTGACTGGACTCCTTTGAGGCTACGTATCAATAAAGTTACTCACAGTGGGGCTAGGGCTGTATCTCAGTGGGAAGGCCTGGGTAAGGGCACTGGCCCTGAGTGCCTTCCCTAGCACTGTAACAGACAGACACACGAACAAACTTGGTCACAATACCAGCTATTCCTGGTCACTTACCTTTCTGGCTCCAGCTGCCTTGTTGGGTCCTTAATATATTCTGTTCTTTTAATCCTTATATCCAGAGAGGTACTATTATGGTCACTTAAAAGATGAGGGGACACCAGGCTTCCCAGAGATGAGTTAACTTGCTCACACTCAAACCACTAGTTAAGGGCAAGCCCAGATTTGAACCCAGGTTGTTTTAACCAAAACACCCATACCCATTTGATTAGGTCACACTACTGAAGCAGTTGGAGTGTCCCCTCTCAGGTGGATGAGAAGGTGACCCCAGGGTCATTGGCCCGCACTGTGGAGGCTGTAGACTATGACTGGCAGGCACAGCCTGCACGGCTGTGTCTCCTGGTTGTCCACCCCTGCAGTCTGCCCCCCTGCAGAGCCCCACGGGGCCGGCATAGTATCGCAGGGCCATTTCGCTGTGTACATTTGTTGTCCAACATTTTTGCTCGTTTTCCTACAAACCCAAAGTTCTCAGGAATGTTCCATGATTTCCTGACTTGTCAACCAAGGCTAACTGATATGAGGGAGACAGAATCAGGATGGGGCAGTCCAGAATGTCCTGGAACCTTTTGATCATGTGATCAAATATTCAGTGAATTTTTAAATTTAAAAAATTATTACAATAAAAGACATGTTGACATTAATCTCCCTCAAAATACTTTCCTTCACTTCAAACACAATATCCCACCATGCTTGTTACTTTCTGAAGCAGTTCTGGAAGTCCCCTTTCGTGAATGTCTTTCTGAGGCAGGATTAAAAATACAGTGAATGCTGCTGCTGAGGGCCATCAACATAAAGGCAGGCTTGTAAAAACATAGTGTCTTCCTCTTCCTTATTCATTGGACCTGGCACCTTGCAACTTCCAGCTTTTCCCCAAGTCAAAATAATTATGAAAAGTAAACATTTTGAATTGATTCAGGATTCACACCCTGTGTCTGATTTATTTCCTTTCACTTAGCTTTATGGTCACTTGTACAAATTTATCCTTCTTTATTCATTATATATAATTTTAATTATTCGTGAGGAATGTCTCAAGCGGCAACAACAAAAAATGTAATGGAGGCACATGTAAAATACATATTCTATTACTTAAGATGTTATTATATTCAGTATATATCTCACATTTTCTTTTTTATTCATCCATTGATGGGCATACAGGCCATCTCCAAGATTGTCTGTTATGAATTATGCCCGTATAAGCATGGGTATGCATGGATCATGGCAATATGATGTCTTTAACTCTTTTGGGAAAATACTCAGAAGAGGTAATAGCTGGGTCAAATGGAGATTCTATTTTTTTTGAGAAAGAATATTCCTTTAATTTAACATTGACAGTGACTGTATGTATTAGCAAAGGGATAAGAGAGTGGAGAGAGAAGATAGTTGGGCCTTCCGTTTCCTAACCAGCCTGGATTTTAACAGAGAGTCCCCGCTGGTGTCTCACCAGGCCTCACACTGGAGTGGGAGGGTTGGGTTGGAAACTTGAAGCATGAAACGTAAAGAGCATGGCATGCCTGGGAGAGGCCTGGAAGTGCACAAGGGGCTGAAGGGCCGGGGGAGAAAGCCCCATTCTCCTTTTTTCCTCTAAGGTTCAGCTGCCACTGGACAAATAGACTGTGAATTGAGGCAGGAAAAGATCAGTATTGTAGTTGTGTTGATAAGATGTGCTTTCATGCTTTTAAAAGGATGTGGTTTGGATATGAACCCAACTTGGGCTTTTGAATATGTTCTCTCTGAATTAAATCGTGCCTCCACACCCCCATCAAGGCAGAGCTCCCCAGTTGCAGGCCTCCTTCATGGTAGAAATGGGGAGCTTGGGAGTCCTAAAGAAAGAGGCTTAGATATAGGGCTTTCTAGTCAAATGTGTCTCCTGAGTCAAATATTTATCCGAAACACCCAGCGTCACCCCTGCAGGGCAGTGCTGCTTCCAGGGAACACAAAGCATGTGTGAAGGAGAGTGCCGGTCTGCTGTGCTCAGACCTGGGAAGAAAGTAAAGAGGGGCAGAGCCAGTGGCTTCTCCCAATTCCACTGGTCTGAAAAGGCGTTTCTCCTCCTGGGGAAGGAGTGGGAGTGGGCAGCGACACTAAGCTCAGAGCTTAGTTCTTTCAAGTCTACAGGAAGGTGAGGAAGGACAATCAGTGTTCACCCCAAACAAACAAAGTGCCACAAACAAGAGCCACTCCTCATTCCCAGGCCCCTCTGGCTCTCGGTCATGCAGGAAGGAGCCCCAGCTCTACCCTAGATCCCTGGTTCTTGTCCAGCGGTCTTTGTGACTTCCATGAGCTTGAAAGCTTCTACTGAATCATTTTGGAGTTCATCTGACTTCCCGCTCTTATTCTCCTGTAAAGTCTTAAGGCTTTTGCATGTGGACTCGCCTCCCTCGGATCTCCCCTTGTTGATTATTGGGTGAAACCTCACACCTTTCACTTCCTCCTGGTCCCGTCTTTTTTGTGTTAAGTCCTACCAGCCTTTTCTGAAATGGGACGGGCCCCAGCAGTTGGAAAGAGCCATAGATTAGCTCACATGGATTCCCTATGCACTGGAGAGTTTGGAAGAATGCTTAGGTGGTGGGGGTGGGCTGGCGGATGCTTCGCTTGCCTTCTGTTGGGGGCGGGTAGCAGCTCTTTGGGCTTCCTCAGGGGTGGCTCTTCATGCAGGATGTTCCTGCAGAGCTTTCTGTAGACACTGAGAAAGTAACTGGGACAGTCGATGTGTGGACAGTTGATCCATGTCCTTGGAGGAGCCCAAAATCCTTAGAGCTCCCAACCTCGCAAGGGCAGGAGAGGAGTAAGACACAGGTTTAGGACTGAGCTCTTCAGCAGAGTTCGCAACCCCAGATAGCTCACTTTTGCTTTCCTTCAGTTTAGGGTGTTTCTATTTGGGACGTCCGTCCAGGTTGCAGACCAACTGCTAAGCCCTGCCGGACTGTGGGAAGGAGGCTCTGTGATTCCTGATGGGGTCTCCTGCTCTCTCCTCAGGGCTTTGCACCTCAGGAGGCCTGGAGGCCCACCGCATGTCAAGCTGGCCGTGGAGTGGGACTGCGCCACCAAAGAGTGGTGAGTCATGGAATCTGCCTCCTGCAGCACCGAGACAGGGCCTGCCTCTTCTCTAAATCCTCTCTGGGCCTCCTTGGCCTAGTCTGACTGTAAGGCAGTGTGCACAGCCTGAAGTGATGTGCCCCATCCCTCTGGGAGACCTTAGTGAGAATTGTTAGTGTGTAAAAAGCCCTGTTAGCAGTGGTGTTCATGATAGTGGAGCTAGGAGTAGCAAATGTGTATGTAGTTCTCACCCTGGGCCAGTAGTCCCTGCTCTGAGCACTTTATTTGCTCTGAGCAGTTCGTGGAGTCTTCATTACATCCTCTGTGTGAGGACCACGAGGTGGGCACTGTTATACTCCGCATTTCTCAGAGCTGGGGACGGAGGTGCAGAGAAGTTAAGCAGTTGCTTAAGGTCATGTGACTCATGCATGACGGAGCTGAGATTTGAACCCAGACTGTCTGCTTCAAGTCTAGGCTCTTTATTAGCCTTTAGCAGCCTTACTTTGAAGAAGGACATTTTTCAGTCTAGTTAGTATTCATTGATCTCCTTCCAGGTGTGAGGTCTTGTGTTAGGACAAGGAAAACAAACATGGATAAGCCAGGACTCGGTCCCTTGAGGAGTTGGGAGGGAAGACAGAGGCTCTAAGACAGAGTGAGTGTGAAGTCAGGAGTGTGCAGAAGAGGTCCCCGGTAGTCCATAAGAAGGGCACTGTAACTGCACCTGGCCACTGCTTTCTGCTGGGCTTGCTATGGGGACAGATGGGGAGTCCCTCTCAGAGGGGAGGGCCCTGAATACTATGGTGTCCTCTCCCTCCTTGCAGCCTGTTTGGGAGCCTCCAGGAGGAGCAGGTCCCTGATGCAGACAGCGTGTGGCGGCAACAGCAGGCACACCAGCAGCACAGCTGTACCCTGGATGAATGTTTTCAGTTTTACACCAAGGAGGAGCAGGTCCCGCCCTGGGCTCCACTCCCCGGCCGGGAAGGGGGCTGGCTGCCTTGCGGTGGGTTGGCTGTGTGCTGCAGGAGCCTCACAGGCCTGGTGGCTTCCTTTCCAGCTGGCCCAGGATGACGCGTGGAAGTGCCCCCACTGCAAAGTGCTCCAGCAGGGCGTGGTGAAGCTGAGTCTGTGGACGCTGCCCGACATCCTCATCATTCACCTCAAAAGGTTCTGTCAGGTGGGGGAGAGAAGGAACAAGCTGTCCACACTCATTAAGTTTCCACTCTCGGGACTCAACATGGCTCCCCACGTGGCTCAGAGGAGCACCAGCGGCAAGCCGTTGCCAGGTCCCTGGCCCTCCTGGAAGCAGCCGGCCAGCCTGCCCACCGCCTACCCACTGGACTTCCTGTACGACTTGTATGCCGTCTGCAACCACCACGGCAGCCTGCAAGGTGGGCATTACACAGGTGAGCCTTGCCTTGCCTCTGCACACAGTGGTCATGGCTGTGACTCTTGCTTGTGGCCTGCTCCTCCAGATAGATTTCTCTAGAATTGGCCTTCTAGGTCGAGCTCCCTCTGCTGCCACTGCGGCCGAGTCCTCACTCGCTGCACACTAGGACACTGGGCGTGTGTGAGAGGGAAGGGTGTCTGGTGCCAGCTGTAGAGCAGATGTCGCCTAAGCTGGTGGCTGGAATTTGAAGTTAGTTGCTGCTCAGATTTTTTAGGCATGTCAAATATGGGAGGCTAGTTATTGGAACCAAGAGAGTGCTGTTTATCATCGTCAGTGATTCTACACAAGGAATCTTACTTCTCCCAGATGGGTATCTTTTTATTTTATGGAGTAATTTTAATTTCTGCTCCTTTGAAAACTTGGGAGCGGTAGACAGAAAGAAACAAATTGCTAGGTAACTCTCAGTGGTTCATCATCATCCCTAGAAACCCTTTTAGAGTGTTATGACTGATTCTGCTTCTTGATTATGTCCTTCCTTGCGTCTGTCCCATCAGGGTGTCTCGGGAGCTACAGAAGCCTACAGAAGAGCTATCAGCAGAAGTAGTAATTGAGTGTCCACTGTGTGGATAGTAGTGGAGGCCGATCCAAATGGTCCTTGTGATTCTGAGAGGTTTAGGATGTGGTTTCCATTGGAGGATGATACAGCTACCGTGGAGAGAGAGAAATGAAGGTGCCGTGCCAGGGACCTGGAGAGGTCAGGGAATGAAGCTGGCCTGGTCAAACTGAAGTTACAGTGGACACCAGAGTTGCCTTGCACTCTGTGTGGGACCATCCACTTTTTCCATAGCTGTCCTTCTAGCTCAAGGACTGCTCTCTCCACCTCTTCTGCAGTCTCTTTTCTGTGACCAAAACAATAGCTCAGCAGAAATCCTTCCTGACCTATATATACCTTAGGAGACATTTCTCTTGTATTAACCTCAAATTTTTTTTTAACAAAAAGTGTCATAGCTGAACTCGTCCTTATATTCACATTAATGATGAAAATAAGGACAACTGGAAGTTGGATCTTGTCATTTCACACATGGAATGTGCTGGGTTCTTATGTCTAAACTCATGGGAATGCCCCATTGCAAGTTAAGAACACTGCTGTAGAATCACAGGGGACTTAGAAGCAGCCTAGGAACAGGGAGGGTTGGGAGGTGCTCACACTGTGAGCTTTGCCTTATCAAATACAAAGTCCAGGTCCCTCCCAGGAGTGAGCAGTAAGGGGTAAAATCTGCAATTTCGAGGTCACAAAGGGCCCAGTTTCTGCAGAGTTCTCCCAGGGTCTGTGTTTGCTCACACTACAAACTACCACTTGCTAGGAAAAGCCTGCCTAATACAAGATCAAAGGGAGACAAGCCCTGAGGGGAGAGGGGACCAGTGAGTGCGGAAGCAGGGCAGTGTCCATAGTCCACACTGCTGAGGGAGATCTCGGCTGAAAGCTCTCAGCTGTGCACCTCACAGGGTCTTCCTCCTCACCACACCCTTGCACAGCGGTTAGTGACAGAGTCCAGAGTCACCCCTGAGCCACTTAGTCTCAGAGCCCACATTGCTGCCTTGCAAAGGGCAAATGACCTCTAACAAGAGCGAGACCCTGAGCCATGGAGGGTGCTGGGGATGAGCACAAACTTTCATCTGGGGATGCACATCTTCTTGTAGCTTCTGAAGAAGGGGTGATGGAGCATGACATTTTGAGTCCCTGCATGTCAGAAAATGCCTTTAGTCCCACTTTTGCTTGACAGGCTCATTGGACATAGAAACCTAAATTGATGGTTGTTGTCCCACAGACTTTGAACAGTAATGTTTGGTGAGGAGTGGGGTCTGAAATGGGATCATCCACTTCTGTTCCTTTGGCTGAGATGGATCTACCATTCATTCTGGAAGCCTTCAGGTTCTTGATCTCTAGTGCTCTGGAATCTTACAGCACGTACCTTCGTGCGGGTCTCTTTCCTTCATTGTGTGAGGCACTGAGGAAACCTGAGTCGGATCTTCAGGTCTGGAACTTTCTTTATGCTCATTTTTTTTAAATAAAAAAAGTTAATTGGTACATAATTGTACGTATTTTGGGGGCATCAAGTGATGGTTTGCTACGTGTACACATTGTATAATGTTCAAATTAGGGCAAGCACATCTATATCCTCAAATGTTTATCATTGCATGGTGATGAAAACATTCAAGATCTTTTCTTCTAGCTTTTGGAAAACATGTACAGTACTTTATTGTTACCTATCATCGCCCTATTAGGCAATACAACACTGAAACTTACCTCTTCTGCCAAATATCAGATTTCCCCCATTACTCCCTCCCTCCTGCTAGAATCCTCAGCCGCTGGCAACGCCCATTATACTCTCTTCCTCTGTGAGATCCAACTTCTTGAGATTCTATATATGGGTGAGATCCTGTGGTCCTTGTTTCCCTGCCTGGCTTATTTCACTTAATGAAAGAGCTTAGAGTTGTTTCTATGTGAGTACGTAGGGAATTAGGACAGTCATTGTTTTAAAAAAATTGCTTCATATTTCATTGTGTACATGTACCAGTTAATTTTATTAATCTCCTATTCATGGGCATTTAGTTTTTGTGGTACGTACTAGGGATACATGCTGATGAATGTATTTTTGTGGTACTGGGGATCGAACCAGGGGTTCCCACACATGTTAGGCAAGTGTTCTCCCATGGAACTATACCCCTAGCCCTTTTTTATTTTATATTTTTTGTTTTTTGGCACTGGGAATTGAACTCAGGACCTTGTGCTTGCCAGGCAGGCACCGTGCCACTGGGATATATCCCCAGCCCTTCATGGGCATTTAGGTTGTTTACAGACTTTCATTTTGATGCAGGTTAATATCCCTTAGGCAGAATAAGGAGAATAATGTTCTCTCAAATATGTCCGTGTCCTAAACCTTAGAACTGTGACTATGTTACCTTACCCGGCAAGTGCAGTCAAGATGGTTGATCAGCTGACCTTAAGACAAAGACACGTTCAGTTATTGCCTAGGTGGGCCACATGTAATACTAGGGACCTTCCAATGTGGAAGAAAGAGGTAGGAGAGTTAGTAATATGGATGAGAAGAACTCAACTTCAACTAATCATATGGCTTGGAAGATGGAAGTGGCCGGAATCCAGGGAATGTGGGCAACCTTGAGAAGTTGGAAACGAGGAAGAAACAGACTCTCCAAGAGCTTTCAGGAGGATTTCAGCCCTGGTGCCCCCTTGATTTTAGATCATAGAAGTCCCATTTGGATTTTTGGCTTCTTGGAGTCTGGAATAGTGTATTTGTAAGTATGGGGTGATTTGTTGCAGCAGTGCTAAGAAACCCAATCGGTCTACAATATTCTCTCAATTTCAGTATCTTTTCCCTTTTATTTTCCATTTCCTTATCTTTTGTGAGGCGGGGATAGATGCTGGGAGATTTATTCAACTTCATCTCCTGACCTTGATATTGCATGTTCTTACTGTGGCTGTCATGATTTTAACTGGTTGCTTCTTTTTCTCTTTTCTTGGATTTCTTCTTCCGAGCACCCTGGAGTTGCTTTTGGCTCTCACCTGGCCCAGCCTTTTGTGGTACCTGATACCGCCAGTCCTGAGCGCCAGGTGCCTCCCAGTGAAGGCCTCGCCGGGCAGGCGCTCTGAGTGGAGCTCTGAGTTGCGCTGGGCTGAGCGGGTGGGATGGCCCCACGCCGTCTGCTTGCTGGGCTCTCACAATGGGAGCCGCCCTTCCTCTCCCACTCTCTTTTGACACTGTGGCTTTACTTCTTTCCTCTTTTTGGAAGTTTAGTCATTTCACTGCACTTCAGAAATGCACATTTTTAGGAATCTGAAATGCCTTCTATTTCATTTTGAATCTGTAGAATAGGTATTACATCTCTATATTCCAAACACACGTGGCTTAAAAAGGGTGGACAGTGAAGCGTCTTGATCCCATTTTTGTCCCTCATCATCCCCCTCCCCTTCAACTACTTTTAATAGTTTCCCATCTCTTCTTCTGTGCTTTCTTTATGTAAGTGCAAGCCACTGGGAGGGTAGTTTCTCATACCCATATTCATGTAGTTCCTTTATGCCCCCCAATCTGAGTTCAATTTTCTGGGTTGTACCTGCCCCTGTGCCTTAAAATCTGTCTTGAAGGTCTATAGATTTGTAGAAAGCTTCCCTGACTGCTATAAATGCACTAAATAGATGAATCAATTTATTAAATCAGTGCCCTGTGGATAGGCTTTGGACTGATTCATTATTTTGCTATTACAAATATTGCTGCCATAACCCTTTGTATATGTCATTTCCTACATGCGCAAGTTTGTCAGTAGGAAAATGTCTCAGCTCAGTCTGTGAGGTTTTTTGTTTGTTTGTTTTTGTTTTATTTGTTTGTAGGCAAGTGCTGTATCACTGAACCATACTCTAGCCTTCGATTGGCATTTTGACAGATACTAACAAACTGCTCTGCACAAAAGGTTGTAGGAATTTGCACTCCTACAAGAGTAAGTGAGTGCTTGCTTCCCTATAACCTCTTGAGAGTGTTATTACGTCTTTGGGTTTTGCCAGAAACGGGGGAATGGTATATCAGTGTAAGTGTAGCCCGCAGCTTCTAAGTCACTTTTCCTGGGTCTAACAGCTGTTGTGGGTCCTTTCCTGTGAACTTTCTGCCTATGTCCTTCAGCTTTCAAACAGATTATTGTCACAAGCCCTGTCCAATTTCTGTCACTAGACTGTCCTGTAGATATTTGTCACTGTGCAGAAGATTGTTATTTTTTTTAGGTGACCAAATTGTCAATTTGCTTCTTTTATGACTTCTCAAGTAAGTAATGACTGAGAGCCTTTTTTTTTTTTTTTACAAGAAGTTTTGCCTGTGTTTTTCCTAGTACTTTTGTAGCTTTACATTTATATTTAAATCTTTGATTTGGAATTTCTTGATGCTCTAAGAGAGCCATCTTGGGGATCCAGTTTTTTCCCAAGAAGATACTGATTTGTCCCAAGACCAGCACTAATTGAAAAGTCCACTTCATTCCTTGAAAGCCCTTGTACCAAAACAGATACTACGTTTTCATGTTTGGGTCTTTGTTTGCTTGCGACAGGGTCTCACTATGTAGTTCAGGCTGACCTTGTACTTTTTATGTAACCCCAGCTGGCCTCGAACTTGCAGAAGTCCTCCTGCCTCAGCCCCTTGAGTGCTGGGGTTATGGGTATGTGCCATCATACCCACTTCTTGCTTGGGTTTATGTTTGGAGTTTGGTTTTGTCCCACAGCTGGAAGTCCCAACCCACAAATGCTGCCTTCGGCTTTCAGGCAACCGGCCCCCTTCCCGAGTGACCTGGGAGCTGCCAGCCAAGCCGTACACATGTGAACAGACGCTGTCACTTTAAAGATTCCAAACATTTTAGGAAACATTTTACTGTATGACAGAAGCCACTTACAGGTTTTAAGTGGAGGAGCAAAGCATAGCTTAGAGCCGGACATGATGGTGCATACCTGCAATCCTAACACTGAGGAAGGCTGAGGCAGGAAGGCTGCAAGTTAGAGTCCCACCTGGGCAACTTAGTGAGACCCTGTCTCAAGATTAAAAAAATAAGGGTTAGGGGTATAGCTCAGTGGCAAGGCCCTGGGGTCAGTGCCCTGTACTGAAAAACAAAAAAACTATAACCAAGTACTATATACAATTATATACACTCTTAATATACACAATTATGTACTATATACAACTATATACACTCTACAGAGAATGGGTAGAAAGGAAGAAGAAAGGGAATTGGAGTTCCCGTTGGGAGGGTGATTCTGAGGCTCAGGGGGAGACTGTACTGGCTGAAAACTGACCACCCAAGCTCTCAAGACACATTTTGGGAGTAGGATCCATAAGAATGGCTTTCAGACTTGGTGTGGGGTGGAAGGGAAAGGAAGAGCGAAGATGAACTCCTAGGTGCCTGGCTTAGTGCGAGGGTCAGCAAACCATGGCCCATGGACCACAGCCTGTCTAGCGCCACTGTTTGTATAGCCCACAAATTTAAAATGGTTTTCTTTTTTGTTTTTTTTTGAGACAGGGTCACACTGTGTAGCGCAGGCTGGCCTTGAACTCACAGCAATCCTCCTGCCTCAGCCTCCTGAGTCCTGGAATCAAATGCTCACCACCATACCTGGTTTGAAATGGTTGTTACATTAAAGTTGGTAATAAAAAAAAAAAAGGACAGCAGTATGTAGCAGAGTGTAACCATATGCCTGAACCATTTGCTTATCTGGCTCATTATAGAAAAAGGATTCAAACTTAAAATAACAATACTCTTTATCAGTAAGAATCTAGGAGCATGGCCTAGGATCGTTTCTGATTCCACAGAATTCATTTCTAGCTCCCAGTGGACTTTTTCTCATTGTATTGTATAAGCATGTCTATTTCTCAGCCATGTCAGTGGGAAATGTCCTCTGCCCTTTGGGGTTCTGATCACAGAGACTGGGGTTTGGACTTTTGCAGCATACTGCCGGAACTCTCTGGACGGCCAATGGTACAGCTATGACGACAGCACGGTGGAGCCAATTCGAGAAGATGAGGTCAATACCAGAGGGGCGTACATCCTGTTTTATCAGAAGCGAAACAGCATCCCTCCGTGGTCGGCCAGCAGCTCCATGAGAGGTGAGCGCTGCTGTTTGCGGGGATGGGTGGAGGGGAGGTTTGGGAAGTTGCTTTAAGAATCAGGAGAATTTTCAGTTGGACATCCAGGACCAGAAAGGTAGGCAAGGATTGAAAAGAGGAAGTGCTGGACACTGCTCTACAAATCTGAGCACCACAGTTAGCAGCTCCTTTGTCAGGATGTGGGATGCATATACTGTAAGTCAAAAAAGGGGAAAAGAATGATTTCACTGGGTGCGGTGGCAAACACCTGTAATCCCTGCACTCAGGAGGCTGAGGCAGGAGGATTGCCATAAGTATGAGGCCAGCCTAGGCTACAGAGTGAGACCTTGTCTCCAAACAAACAGAAAAAAAAGAATAATTTCTTTTAGTCAGCAGGGTGACACTTGGGGGTGTGGGATTCCATATTCTCAGTCTCGCTTAGAATGAGTCAGATTTAATTAAGCTTGTGACATACAGCCCTGTGTTATAAGCTAGTATTAGTCCTGTTAGGGAGGGGTGGTAAGAAGGGTACAAGGCCTCTCTAGGAAGTATAGTTGCTTAATGATACCCCAGCAATTCATTTATTAGCCTTAAGTTTGCTCGGAAGTCTAGAGGAAAAAAATACCAAAGCTGCCCCTTCTATGTGACCTGTTCCACTCTGCAAAGCAGCCGTCCTCATCTTGAGGATAGGAGAGCATTTAACAAAAATCAACCAGATTTTCTCTTAACCATTATTGAAAAATGTCCAAATAAACCAAGGGTTCTAGCAGGTCTGAGTTAAACCTCATGCGAGTCTCACCGCTGCATGCTACAGGAAGGAGCTACTGGAAGAAGAAGAAAGCACCATGTTAGAGAAGGGCAGGTTTTCCTTCTGCCCAATGTAATGAAGACGATATCTCCTCCAGATCAAAGAGTGGACGTCCTTAATGACTGTTATAAAAGTCAGTTTCCCTGAACTTGGGGTCTCTTCCTGTAACAGCGTATTGCATGGTGCCCCTAGGGAACTGAGGCCTTGGGTCCTGGGAATAAAATTCTGACCATGGCTTAGGCTGTGAGTAATAAAGTCCTCTGGTTCTGGAAAAACAAAATGAAACATTTAGGAAGCCAGCGTTGGTGACCAGTAATTTCATGGAAAGTATTTCCCTGAACTTTGCTCTCTGTGCCCACTTTCCTCTCCCTGAACCCATAAGGTTGGTCACGGGGCACCCGCCGAAGGGCTCTCCGGGTATTTAGCACCGTTTCTGTGGGCTGCGGGACGGGGCTCAGCCGTGGGAAGCTCTGCTCGGCTGCAGAAGCGGGCATTGGTGCAGCCTCCCTCCTGTGCTTCCTCTGCAGGCTCCACCAGCTCCTCCTTGTCTGACCACTGGCTCATGAGGCTCGGGAGCCACGGCGGCAACAGCACCCGAAGCAGCCTGCTGTCCTGGAGCTCTGCCCCCTGCCCCTCCCTAGCCCGGGTGCCCGACTCTCCTATCTTCACAAACAGCCTCTGCAGCCAAGACAAGGGTACGTGCGTTACATGTGCTGATGTTCTCTAACAGCTGTGGTCTCTCCTCTTGGTCAAAGTGGTGGCCCTTCCCAGCCTCCAGTGTGGAGTCAGGTAATCAAGAGGGGTGTTCCTCTGTCTCACAGGGTCTCCTACAACCTTCCCTCACCTCCACGTCTCCTCCTCGGTCCTCTGTCTACAGATACGATGTGCCTGTGTGTCCACAGGTGGCGTGTTTGTAGAGCCAACCAACTGTGGATTGAAAATTTTGGGGGTAGGGACCCATCTGTACTGAACATGTAGACTTCTTTCTTGTTATTAGACTTAAACCAATATATATAACAACTATCTGTATAGCACTGGCATGTATGGGTATTGTAAATAATCTAGAGATGATTGGAAGGACCTGGGAGAATATGCATAGGTTCTACACAGATACCGTGCCATTTTGTATGTGGGACTTGAACGATTGAGGATTTTAGTGTCTGCAGGGGGACCTGGGGATGATTCCCTGAGGATCCCGAGGCTTGTTCTACATTCTTTCTTGGCTCCCACAGAGCTTGTGGTTTTGTGGGGGTGGACAGAAAATGAAGGCAGCAGTGTGATTGAGAACAGGGATAAATAATCAGGAAGGAGACATGGAGGCTGGGGAAGTGGGAGAAGGGCACAGAGTTTAGTGGTTCGGCTGGGGAAGACCTTTCTGGGGAGGTGGTGTGAGTGAGAGAGATGGCAGCTCTTGTGGAAGTCAGGGGACTGTATTCCAGGAAGGGAGCAGCCAGGGAGATGGCCTGGAGTGGGGGTCAGGTCGGGGAGAAGCCGGAGCTAGGGCCATCCTTGTGCATTCCTATTTTTTTGTATTGCTTTTTTTGCTTTTATTCCCCCCAGTACTGGAGGTTGAATCTAGTACATCCCCAGCCCCTTTTTATTTTGTACTTTGAGACAAGGTCTTTCTAAGTCACTTAGTTTCCTGGCTGTGATGGAACTTGCAGTCCACCTGCCTCAACCCGCCAGAAGGCTGCGATGACAGGTGTGCGCCACCACACCCAGCTACACTCCTGCTGCTTACCACAGTGGGTTCCTCTGACCCACCCAGGCTGGGCATTCTTTTTTTATCCCTGCATTTTCATGACGTCACATTTAGGAGAGAGTCTACAAAACAAGAAAGTGTTTTTCAAACTTGTTCATCCCTGCACCCCTGCCTATGATAAGCTCATAAATTCGTCTAGCTCCATCCATCTGAAAAGCATAGTACCCCGGGCCATGTCTTAGTTCTCCCAGGGAGAAAGGTGTCTGACTAGTGGGGGCAACTTGAGAAGTGGGCAGCTCTTCAATACGGGATTCAGGAGGTGTCAGGCACGGCCCTGAGGGCCTCTCAGAGACCCAGCAGGGGCTCAGGACCGGGGTGGAGTTGTTCGTCCTGCTCTGGAAGGCAGTGATTCACTTCCAGTCCCTGAGTGTGTGGAAAATTGCTAGGAATCCTCTCTAGAGCGGCCCTGGGGCTTAGGCCACCCCACTTTTCAGGACAAGAGTTTTTGCTGATAAATTTCCTCTGCGGCTTTTATTGGGGCTCAGAGATTTTGTTTTTCTCTTTTCAGTTCTTTCCAGATAGTATTTCATCTCAGTTTTCATTTCTTTGATCTAGAACTTATCTGGGAGTTTCAAGTATGTACAATTGTTTTGTCACCTTCTTATTATTCCTTATTTCTAGTTTGGTGGACTATGATCCAAGAATGTGATTTTCAAAGTTATTCTTTTTATGATCCAGTTCATGGTGATTATTTTGTAAATGTTCTGTATACATATGATATACTACCTATTGTCTACTTGAGAAATGTGAGCTTTATTTAATAACTATTAGCTGAGTTGGTCATTTATTTAGTTCTCCTATGTCTTTAAATTTATCTTCTCCAGGGCAGCCTGACTAGGAAGGAGATATATTGAGGCCTTCCTGCGGAGCTGTATTTTTAATCATGTAACTCCTTGAATTTTAATAATTTTGTCTTATGTTGTTAGCTGCTTTGTTAATAGAGGTCTGCAACTTTATTACTGTTGGATCTTTTTCTTAAAAAATTAACTGTGCTTTTTACCATACTAATGTTGCTCTTTATCCTGCTTAATATATTTAACCCTAAATATACTTGGTTCCTTGTTAAGAATTCCACCTTCTGCTTCTTTTTCTTTTCTTTGCCTTTGCCCGCTGTTGTTTTGCTTTTTGCCTTTCTCTTTTGCTTGGTGAACTTTCTTTTTGAGTTAGTTTTAAGTGGTTTGTGGTAAATAATATGTTGCTGGGTTTTTGTTTGTTGGTTTAATATCAAAAATTCAGAGCCCTCCACCCCCCTTTTGGTATAGTGCTGGGGATCAAATCCAGGACCTCACACAAGGTAGGCAAGTGCTGTACCCTTGAGCTGCATTCAGAATTCTGGTCTTATAATTGGAGAATTCAGTCCATTCATACTAAATATGACAACTGCAATATCTGATTTAATTCATTTCCATATTTTAAAAATTTCTTTTTCCTTTCTTTGATCATTGTTGATTTGATGTTGCTATTTGCTTTTTCTTTTGTTAATTTGAAGTTTTATTCTTTTCTACCTTGTATAAGTACTTGGTACTTCCTTGATATTTATTTGTTGTTTAGTTCTGTTGAGGCAGGGTCTCGCCATGTAGTTCATGCTGGCCTTGACTTTACTATGTAGCCCAGGCTGGCCTGGAGCTCGCAGCAGTCCTTTTACCTCAGCCTCTCGAGTGTTGGAACTACAGGTGTGTGTCATCATGTTGGCTAAATTTTATTTTGTGCAGTCTGTCCTCAAACTTGTGATCCTACAGCCTCCTGAGCGGTTGGGATTACAGGTGTGCACGTTCTTCCCTCCCTCAGCAAGAGAAGAACTAAATAGTATTTCTATCGTCACTCTTTTTCCTGCCACTCCCTCCAGAATGAGAGCTTTGAAATGCGTTCATGTGCTTCTGGTCTGCTTTGGGAAGTCCCCTCTTCCTTCCCAACTGTTAGGTTTTGGTGAGAAAATCTAGTACTCTTTATTTCAGGCTGTTATTAGAATTTCTGTCCCATCTTGATTTAACCTAAGGTGATGTTGCGAGGCTGTCTGGTGTTCCTTACACAGAATGGATGGGTCATAGATACATGGTCTGCTGCTGTATGCTGAGTTTTCTCCTTTTCGTTCCTGTTTGTGCTGAGGTCTGGGTTCTGCCTCATTAGCGTTGGGTCAGAACCTCTTTGGGGCAAGCACGCTGTGCTATCTGCACCCTTTCATAACCGCACGTATTTCCTTGCAGCTGGGAGTGACAGGGAGCCAGAATCTGGGGTTGCATTCCTTTCCTTTCAGGCAGCTCTAGCTGTTTTCCCATGGTCTGCCTGCACCCAGGGTGGCATGTGAGAAGCCTAGGCTGTTCTTTTTCACCTGAGTCTAACTTTTTTTCTGGAAGCTTTTAATATTCTCTTTGGCCTTTGAGTTCAGAAATTCTATCAGCAAACACCTGGGTCTGTGTTTTTGTGCATCACCCCTACCTAGGACTTGGGAATTTTTCTTACAGACTCAGGCCTTAATGAAAATATTCCTTTGTTTTCTTGTTGAACCGTTGTCTCTCTTTTCAGATCCTTATGATTTGCCTGTTGGGCCTCCTGATTCCATCCTCTCAGTTTGCAGCCATTTCCCTGTGGCTTCTGTGTCTTTGTAATTTTGCTCTGTGATGTGAGAGATATCTTTCAGGTCCCTCATTTGAGTCTCCACAGTGATCCTGCAAGCCTTCAGTTCATTTACTGAATTTTAAACCCTGAAGGCCACATTTTCCAGTCCCCAGTGTTCTATGCTGGAATCTCCTCGAGACTCAAGTTAATTGGTTATTTAAAGTTGTCACCTGTGTCCTCTGGTGGCTCTGCTTCATTATGAACCTGTCTTCATGGTTCTGTTCTTTTCTTACTTTCTGACGCCCGGACCCCTCTCCTTGTGCTATTATTTTCCTGTTTCTACCCTTGGGGCTCTGCTCTGCCCTTTCTGGAGTGGTGATGATTCCTGCAGAGATGGCAGGGGCAGTGGCTTCGGCTTTATGACAGCCACACCCTGTCTTCCCCAGCCTCAAGCTTGGGCTCAGTCTTGGAGGTGGGAAGCCCCAGCTTGTCTGAGTGGCTCCACCGTACCTTCCAGGGGAGCAGAGGGCAGTTTGGGGTCAGGCGTGCCCCCTGCTGCTCTCTGAATGTCAGGTGGAAATGGTCACCAGCCTCTCATGGAATCATAAGACCATAGGCGATCTTAAAGTAAAACCAACCAACCTAGGGACACAAAGGTCCTACAATTGTTTCTGACACTGAAAGCCAGAGACAGAGAGGTCTCCAAATGCAGACTTGAGCTCAGAATACGAGGCCCCGTAGTGTGTGTCTCTTTCTTTGTTTCCAGCCACACCTCTGTCTTTTTGCTGCTTTCCAGGCCACCAGTCTTGCTGCTGCTGCAAGGCCTTTACACTCACTGCCCCTTCTGCCTGGAGTCTGTTTCCCCAGATGTCCACATGCCCACCTCTCCCTCATCCCTCCCAGGGCCCCTGCTTCCCGCTTCCTCCCCCTTATTCGTTGTAACACTTACCACACAGGACGTGATAAATACTTTCGCTTTGCTCAAACCCCGTGAGGACAGGCACTTTATATTTACTTCCTCAGCTGTATGCAAAGCAGTGAAAACAGCACCGGCACACAGTAGGCTCTCGTTAAATATTTTTTGAATGAATCACGGGGTGGAAGCTGTTAGAGAAATGGAAAGCACTTAATCTGTTGCAGGTGGGCTAGGAGTGGGGCAAAGAGGTCCCTAGGCTCACGGCTCACAACTCACAATGTGAGGTCACCGCGATCCCTCATTCACTAGCTAAGGGCCAAGGACTCCTGGGAATCAGGATGGCCACACGTGGGCAGGAACAGAGGTGGTATCTCTTGGAGCAGTGTCTGCTGGCTTCAGGGTTTCGAGGTGCGTGTTGGCCATGCAGAGGGCTCTGACGGGTCCCGGGCAGCTCCTTATGTGCACTGTGGGGCTTGTGTACATTTCAGGAAGGTGTAGCAGTTTGCGTCTGTAGTGCAGTTTGAGCCACCTGGTTCTCAGGCAAGACTGGCTGGCAATAAGCAGGAGTTGTGAGGTGGCGGGGGTGAGGGGGTACATTGCAGGGCAGTCTGACTTAGTGCTTAGGCCTCCTAGAACACTACCCCTCCCTCTACCACCCAGAACTCTACAAGGTCCGTAGCCCCAAGCAAGGGACTTCAGGTCTTATATCCATCTAGGAAGTGGAGAATGAAATAGCCAGTGAGCAAGTCTCAGTAGGATTGAGGGGGGTGGAGGGTGAGGGGTGTTCTCATTTCCTCCCATCCCTCTGCTGTAATTTCTCAATTTCGTATCCCCCCCCCCATCCTGTTATAATAGTGTAGTGGATAGAATGAAAGAAAATGAAGACACGGTGCTTCTCACCGCTGCCTTGAAAAAGAGAAGGAGCGGTTCCACGGGCATCTCTGGCTCCTGCACTGTGTGGCACAGATGTTGATGTCAGCCCTGGCCTCAGGCCCTTTCATACCAGGAAGAAAGGAAGGACTCTATTTAGGGCAGCTGCCAGGTCCTCCGGCCACCTGCCACGGCTCCAGATGGCGTCCTCACGTCATGAAAGGCGAGAAGTCGCAGCTTTGTCCTCCCAGCACAAAGCTCCCCTTTCTGCCCTTCCTGGGGCTGAGGAACAGGGAGAGGGAGAACTTCACACACATCTCAGACTCCAGAATGGTGTTTTATCTGAGATATGGGAATTTAGTGGTGGAGCAGCAAGGTCAAGCCAAACTGAAATGACAAAGTATTTTGGGTGAAATTGTGTCTATTCCTGGCTAATATACAGAAATGCTTTAAAGAAGAAAAGCATCAAAAATTATCTGTGAAAGACCTGAAAGGTAAAATCCTTGTGGAGCCTCTGAGATGCTGTCACACTCCTGTGGCCAGGAACAAGCGATCTCCTCCTTACCCCTCTGGTCATTTCTCTTCAGGGTGCTTGGCTGTTGTGCAGGGCACCTCCACTCCCAGCATGCACTGCGGCTCCTTGGTTCTCCCAGGCTCTCATCTGTGCAGCTGAAAGTCTCAGGGCTCCTCCACGCAGTGTGCAGAGTTGGCTGTGCTACCATGGGAGGCTTTTAGTGGCAGCGGTCCTTACTCATTCTGAGTTACTCTCGTTGCAGCCCATTTGGATTGCGGTGGATTAGGTAGCTTGTCAGCAACAGGAATTTGTGCCTCAGGGTCCTGGATGTCTAAGATCAGGTGCCAGTGTGGTCAAGTTCAGGGTGGGGATCTTCTAGGCTGCAGACGGCTTCCTGTTGTGTCTACTCCCAGAAGAAGGAGATCTAGGTTTCTTTTTCCTTCCTTGTTTTGAGGGATCCGACTTCACAGTCTAATCACCTTCCTAAGGCCCTCATTTCCTCATACCATCATCCCTTGGGGATTCGACTTTCAACATAAGAATTGAGGGGAACACAAGCATCCATCCATAACACTCCCATTTTATGATGAAAGAGTGTGTTGATAGCAGCCTGCTGTGGGTGACAGGATTGGGTGGTTGACCAGCAGCTTTTCTCCAAGTACATGTGACTGTCCTTGTGCCATGTAGCTTGTGGGTTTCAGTTGAAGATTTCTTTCTCAGTGTAGGCGCTTGTAAATCAAGACTATGACGGTACAGTGACAAGGAGTGGGAATTTCTAAGGAAAAACAGACAGTATTGGTTACATGTACGTCCTCCTTAGAAATGTTGAGGTGTGGGGAAGAACTCAGAAGAGAAACGGTTGTACACGGCACACCACACACCTTTTGTGTTGGTGTCTATTTCTCCACCCTTGCTCCTATGTTTCCACATGCACACATAATACAGACACATGTGTGTATATTTTGGCCATTTGGCTTATACTGTTTCTTTAGGCTCTTATTTCTCATGTAACTCTGTGTATCAAAAACATCTTCTCGGCTATTTATAGATATTGCGAATCACAATGAAGGCATATGGGCAGCTCTGATGGAATTAAACATAGTTTTTTTTTTTTTAGCTTATGGTGGGAGAACTTGTATTTGAAAATACAAGTACCTAATTTGACTTGGAAAAGCAGAGACTTTTGCTTAGCATTCTGGTGCATGGACGTATCTAAAGATGGGTGAAGCTGGGCGTAGAGGCAGATGCCTATAGTCCTAGCTACTCAGGAGGCTGCTTGGGCAACTTACTAAGACCCTGTCTCAAAATAAAATAAGAAGGACTAGGGGTATAGCTCAGTGTTCCCTTGGTTCAATCCCTAGTATCACCTCCCAACCCCCCAAAAAGAAAAAAGAAAGACAGAGGATGTTAAATCTTAGGTTAGTTCCTGTTGGGTTAATATCATCCCTTAGTTATTGTGGACTGATCAGTCTCCCAAACAATCTCCCAAACAAGTGGAAGGTGAAGGCTAAATAAAAGAGACAAATGGTATGATCTCAGGGCTCCAGGAGGATCACAGAACTCAAGATTCTCTGAAGGCTAAGACCAAGATCTCTGGGCAGTCATATTTATTTAGATATCAGAACAAGGGAGGGAAATACTCAAGTAGGGTGGGAACTGCTCAAGGACTTCTCCAATTATGGCATTTCATTTAGGAGAGCTGTGTTAACTCAGGAAGGTCTTCCCCCAGGAGTGAGGTGCCTGAGGCTATAGTCTTTAGTTGAGGTTGGAGCCAGGTGTCCTTGGCTGTGACCTAGTCTTATCCTTTGAGGCTTCAAAGCTTCACCTGCCATTATGGGGCTTCAGTAGCGATGAGTGACTTACAGAGGTTCACTTACTATGAGTCCACTGCCCATCTCCAGACAAGGGAACTAGGCCTTGGACAGACTCACAAGTAAACATGGAAAACCGATTGGTTAACTTAAGTTCTGCTCAGAGCTGCTTCATAGTAGTCTCCATCCGGTTCCCTCTGAGACTGAGCTTTGCCAGGGGCCTGTACTGCCAGGCATGTAGGCACAGACAGCCTTCTGTGTCCATAGGTTCTACACTGGCAGAGTCAACCAACTACTGGTCAAAAATATTTTTATAAAAATTGCATCTGTACTGAACATGTACAGACTACTGTTTTCTTGCCATGGTTCTAGAAGTAATCTAGAAATGATTTAATGTACACTGCATGGGTTATATGCAAATATCCAAATCATATGCAAATACTGTTTTATATGAAGGACCTGAGGTTCTGTAGGGTTGGAACATCTATAGGCAGTAGGTCCTGGACCCAATCAATCTCCCATGAGTATCAAGGGGTAACTGTACCTTCTTTGGCTTTGGTCCCTGTAACTTCAAATGTGTGAGTGGAGCCTGGGCCAGTGAGTGAGACTTTCGGTCCTGAGGATAGGAACCCTGTGCATCTGTTCAGCGGTAGATGCATCCCCAGTGCCCAGCCCATGTCTGATATCAGAGTGCTCAGTGAGTGCTTACTTGATGGCTGGTGCTACAGTTTCTCCTGTTTCAGCTGCAGGGTTAACTGGGTGTGCTAACGTCTTGGTGTCTCTTTCAGGAGGTTTGGAGTCCAGGCCTTTGGTTCGGGGTGGCCACGGCAGAAGCATCAGCATGAAGGCGCCCACCACATCCCGAGCCAGGCAGGGGCCCTTCAAGACCATGCCCCTCCGCTGGTCCTTTGGGCACAGGGAGAAGCAACCTGGTGCGTCTGTCGAGCTGGTGGAGTACCTGGAGTCCAGACGCAGGCCTCGTCGATCTACCAGCCAGTCCATTGTGCCTCTGCTCACGGGCACAGCGGGTGGGGAGCAGAAGTCAGCATCTCCCAGGTCAAATGGCACCCTTTCTGGTGAAGATAGTGGCCAAGCTAATGGGAGAGGACCAGCAAGGGTGCCCTGTCCCTCAGGCTACCCCAACCACCACCCGGCCACTGGATACTCTGAGGCTCTAAACACAACCAGGACACGGAAGGAAAATGCAAGTCAAGATATCCGGCTTCCCAAAAAGTTTGACCTGCCCCTCACTGTGATGCCCTCCCTTGAGAATGAGAAGCCAGCCCGCCCAGAGGGCCAGAAGACCTCAAACTGGAAGGGAAGCCAGAGCGGCCCACCGTCGCCCTCCACAGGTTTGTCCAGAAACTGTCAGGACAGTGGCCAGGGTACCTTACCCAAGATGAGGGCCGCTGTGGACGAAAGGGCTTCGGAGAAAGACCGGCTCCCACAGGGGACTTTCACCCTGCTGAGGTCTGTGTTTCGGAGGAAGGAGACTCGGAAGGTGGACGGGGCCCCGGGCTTCCTGCCAGTGCTGCCGGTTTCCCTGGGGAGCGGCAGGCTGAGCCCCGCCGTGGGCGAGCAGGCTCCAGGCTCATCTCCTGCGCTCCGGATTCCGGAGGGCCTGGCCAGGGGCCTGGGCGGCCACCTGGAAAGGGATGTCCGCTCTGCACCCAGCTCTCTCCACCTCCCTCGCAAGGCCGGGAGGCCCCCACGACCCGGTGCCGCCGGCTTCTCACAGAAGAGTGTGTCTGGGGAGCAGACTTCTTATGGCACCTTGCAGAGGGTGAAATACCACACTCTGTCCTTGGGGCGAAAGAAAGCCTTACCCGAGTCCAGCTTCTGATGGGCGTTTCAGTACCGTGTGAAGTTGGAGGGATGGGAATTTGCACTGAGTAGCTGTGGGCAGTCTGTGTTCAGAGTGAATTTTCAGGAAGCCAATTGTCTTGTGATCTGTGAAAGAAAAACATGTTTTTGATCTCTATAAATGGACTCTGAGCACCTCCTATCCAAATAACGATGTCCAAATACTGTACGTACCCTCTTGTATCATTGGGTGCTTTGATATAGCCTTGCCACTAGAGGGCGATGTTGGGCCAATATTACCATTTCCAGGCAAGGAGGGATTATTTTGTTTAAATAACGTCTTGGTCTGAGTGCCTGTACTAAAAGAATCCAGTGTCAGGTCGGATATTGTCACTGGATTCTCTTTTTTCTTTATTTCTTTGTTTTTAAATAGTGGACTTACAAGGGAAATCTTTTCCTTCGAATGCTTCTGTGCATACATGTAAAAGATGCCAAAACAAAAACAAATAATAAAAGAAAAGAGTGACAGCTATGATAAGAGAAGGTTCTAGGAGAAATGGAAAATAAATGGTTGCTATTTTAGGAGAGTATTTAATATATAACAAAATAACTATTAAACTTTTACAAGGTATTTAAAAAAGATAACTATTTTGATACCAGAGGAAAAAAAGGAAGCTTTAAAAAATATAACTATGAGACCTACGTGCCATTTTAATAAAATCATGTTGGTGAAGTGCACAAATGGCTTGCTGTGTTATTAAAGCTTGGTAAGTGGCCTTATTCCTGCTGTGTCTACTTGCGCGTTGCCCTGGCTATCCATGAGTAGCTACTTCTTTCTGAAATTGAAAAGCACTGATCATTAAAACAACTTCTGTTTTTTGTTTTGTTTTGTTTTTTTAAGAAGGAGAATTCTTAGGCCTGCCTCTTTCTGGAGTGCTTGGACTTGCCAGCCCCTGAGACGAGGCTGCCTCGGTGGACTACGTGTCTTCTACAGCTTCATGTGTGCTTCCGTAGCATTTATTCTTCAAGAGGTTCTGTCATTTCTTACTAAGAAGCTGCTAGGCCTGACCCCAGGCCTGGGGCTCAAAAGTTAAGGTCACTGGCAACTCTGCACATTAGGGTTTTCTGGAAAGGCTTCCTTTCTGAGGGCAATCGTTCGTTCAGAACACCCGGGCCCAGGGGTTCAGTTTTCCCTCAGAGACACAGCACAACTTGTTGGCATGTCTCTGCTGTGGTACTTTAACATTTTTTTCCTTAAGAAGGAAGAATGGTGTCCTACTTTATTCCAGTGAAAGAGTGCAGCTTGCCTTTGCTGTGAGTGACAGTTGGAGGTTGGGAAGAACGAAGACCACGGGGAAAGTGAAAGCAGCAGCCTCTGGCCCTATCGCGAGGCTCGAGGCTTCGCATCCCAGCAGAAGTGTGCGTTTCTTTGGGTCTTACACTGATGTGCTCTTGGGCAATGTGGAGGACGATGTTGTCCAAGTCCTCGTGGGTGACAGGAGTTTAGGACTCTTCCTGCATTATTTGGTTGTTTCTCCTGTTTGGCGCTCAGAGCAATTTATTTCTGTGCTCCCAGCTCAGGCTCACTTTCTTTGTCTGCTAAGAGACTGGGTTGTAACTCACATTCTCAAGGTTTATTTCCTGTAAGGATTGGCTTTGCGAGAACTTCATATCTTCAAGGAGTAGCTCGGGAAAGTCCTGCTTGTTAGCAGTGTTCTCTGCGATGCACCAGGAATTGGGACACGGACTCCGGGCTTCCAACCATGAAGGTGTAGGAAGGGGCAGGGACACTTGGACCCTGGTGGGTATGTGTGCTGTCTCAGGCTCTCAACAGAAACGCTTGTGGTCCGTTTGCAGGCTCCTGTCTGAGGCTGCTTCTCCCTCTAGAAGGAATCAGTAGGAAGCTTTGTAAGAAGGAAGCATAGGAAATGTGTGAGACAGGTTTCTGCCTGGGTTGGAGGGGAAGAACCATGGCTCCGTCTTGACCTTGCATCTGCCTTCAGGCTGCAGGCGTCTGGTCCAGTGATGTTTGAGGGGGAGGCTGGGGGAACCACTTGGGTGCTTCTTTCTCAATCATGAAATCTCCCTGGAAAGTTGTAAGTTGGGTTCAGAGAAAAGTTGAAAGCCGTTGGGCAGGATGGGAGCATAGCCCAAGGAAGCAGGCTAGGATGCAGACAAGCTGCCTCCCACGCCGCCTCTGGGAGCCAAATCCTAGGCCTGGGTGTCTCCCTGCTGTACGGGGGATAGGCCTCGGTCTGATGGCGAGAATCCACCCCTAACTTCTAAAGTGGCCTCCGGATTAGTCCTCCTCCTTCATCCTGCTCTTGTCTGCTAGTGGAAGGAAAGACTTGCAAGCCCTGGGCTGGGAGGTCATACTGTTAATGTCAGAAAATACACGGGTCCATGGAGAAATGCCAGGGAGCCCCCAGGAGAGGGCGCCATAGGAGCTAGAAATGACACGGTTGCAGTTCTGGGATGGAGTGAAAGTGTTGATGCTGAGTACACACCATCGGCAGGAGATCACCTGCAGTGAGCCAGCACCACGTCACCTGAGGACTTGAGCATCCTGAGGACTTGAGCACGTCCGGTAGCTGCAAAGATAGCAGTTAATAATTACAGCCGACCGGTGTTTGCACAGCATGGAACTGTTTGCCATCCAGTGAAGCACTTTACGCTATTAAACTAATTTAATACGTAATCTTTTGAGGTAGGTATAGTTATTTCTGTTTTATAGTTGAGGAAACTGAGGCTCAGGTTAAGTAAATTGCCTAAAGTCACACAACTTGTAAGTGGCAAAGCCAGAAACTGAACCCAGGTGATGCTGGCTCTGGGGTTCTCCCTCCATTTCAATGCTGCACCTTTGAAGACAGACTACTCATCCTGTCAGTTGGAGCCATTGCTTCTGGTATTTCCTATTTATCAAAATGGAGAAAAATGCATTTCGTAGATCAATAGTCTATTTCCAAGTGCTAGGGGCTGTAAGTATTCCAGCAAGGACATGGCATTTGGACAAGGCCTTGTCACTGGCCTCCCTGCTTGATTAGGTCTTTGACAGACAGTTATTCTCCAAACTTCACTCACTTTATGCTGAAAACTGGGGAGCTGAGAGGACATAGGACAGGAATTAGGGTAGAGCAAGTTGGGCTCGAGTCTTTGTGGCCCTAATTTCTGATTCTTCTGGGGATGCAAATCTGCCTTTGTTTTGCTTGATATATTGAAAGAGACAGCTCCAATAACATTTGCCTGACCCCAGCATAACTTATAAACACCTGAAGGTTCACTAGGTAGGAAACACAATTTCCACCTCTGGGAGCATAACAGGAAATAATTTGTGTATTCTGGTTGGAATAGATGAAGAACTAGAGAAGGTAATTTCAGATAAATGTAAATAATTCTCAAGTATGGAAATGTGCAGATCACATGAAACTTGGTGAGGGAAATCCAGTGCGGCGTTCTGCTATTTCCTATTTGCCATAGCCAGTGAATTAAACACTCGGAATATTGAAATTTCCCCCAGAAAGGGCCTAGCTTCCACGGGCCTGCCCAGATGCAGAATTGGGTTAGAACTCTATTTATTTCCTCAGTCACCATAAGTCATCGTTCAAACTGACAAAGCTCTGGGTTTCTGAGCATTAGGGTTCAGCCCAGGCAAGTGGCCGCGGTCTTTGGGGGACTGCTGGGAGAGAAGCTCTGATGGCAGATGCGGCGAGTGGTACAATGGTACCCAGACAGCCTGTCACTCAGGGGAGTCTGGATTTGTGAACTGATGCAGGTAAGGATAAAAAGTTGACTATTGCCAGGCATGGTGACACACATGCAAAGTCTCAGCTTCTCAGGAGGCTGAGGCAGAAGTTTTGTAAATTTGAGGTCAGCTTGGGCAACTTAGCAAGACTCTGTCTCAAAATAAAAATTAAAAGGGCTGGGGCTGTAGCCCAGGGATACAGCATCCATGGGTTTGATCCTTACAAAGGGGGGAGAAAAGGGAGGAGGAGAAAGGGAGGAAGGAAGGAAGGAAGGGGGGAGGGAGGGAGGGAGGAAAAAAGACTCCTTTAATGCAAGTCAGGTTTCTAGTTCTCTATACCTGAGCATTTGGTTATCAGAAGTGATCCACGTCTGAGCAGCCTGCCTGGTGGTGTAACTTCTGGAGCGCCCAGCCATCGCCAGCATTCTCTGCACGATCACCACCTTGGAGATCCGATGACATGACTGCCTGAGAGACTCCTGATGGTTAATCACCCTTAACTAGGTTTGGCCACTTGGCACTTCTCCCATTGCTACCAAGGTCAAGGTCCTTTTTGTTTGTTTGTTTTTTGGTACCAGGAATCAAACTCAGGACCTTGCGCTTGCCAGGCAGGCGCTTATGCCACTGAGCTATATCCCCAGCCTCAAGGTCCTTTTTGAACAGCAGCCTTACCTGGCAGCTCTCCTATTTAACTTGAAGGTAGCCGCTACGTACCTCACAAGGACCTGGCTGCTTGCTTCATTTATCGGTGACTCACGGCCGGATGGAGAGGTTGGCAAACGTATGAAGTCATGTGTGGTAGAACACACAGGCGAGAGCCACACCCCCTCCTGTCTCCTGAAGACTTTGGACTTCTTCCTTGTGATAGCTGTCATCGATTCCATTTCTTTTCTTTTTTTTTCTGTTTTACCACAGTTGGTCTGGGTTATTTTTACCAGACCAGCAAGCGCTTAGAATCATAGCGGACTGATTTTCAAGCTAGGTTCATTGATGAATGTATCTGTTGTAGTCAGGGCTTGCAAGGGGAACAATTTAACATAGGACAAATAATTTATAGGATTATTTTATAATACTATTATAGGAGAGACACCTTAATGTAATATGTTATTATTTTATAATAGTCTTTATTTTATAAAGAGTGCACTCCATGTATAAAAGAGTGCAGGAAATCTGTCCACACACTAAAGACCCAAAGGATCCAGCTGAGGGCCTGGATTCCATGGCGATGTCCTGCATGCGTCCAGCTGAAGACCTAGGGACCATGACAATTCTCCTCATGAGTCCCACAGCCTATGACAGTGTCTCATGCAGGTCTGTTTCATAGATTTGTGCTAAGAAGGCCCCAAGGTTAGTGGTAGAAGCTAGAAAGTCTGTGCCAGTGGGATGAAGGACCTGTGCTAGCAGGCTGAGGAATCTGGGCTGGAGCCAGGAAGCGATGCTCAAAGTAAGGACCAGAGCTCCCTAAAACAGTACCATAGCCATCCTCAGCAACAGTGAGGTCCCAAGCTCCTCCAACGATGAGAACAGCTGAATTCGTATCAGGAAAGCCAGCGTGACAAGCTCCTCAGGAGAACCAACAGCTCCCTAACAGCTCCTCTTCTTTTTCTCCAGTCCTCCTTTTTATTTTTTTGGCAAAAGTCCTCAGGTGGGCCCTCCAAACCCAGCACCATGCTGATTCAGTTCAGCTGGGTGTTACAAATTGCCCACCAGCTGTCAATCTACCCCAGTATCCATATCATTGCTGAGCCATATCCCAAATTATATTTTTATCCACCCTGGCTCACTACTCAAAAAAAGTCATCCTCTAGAAAAGAATTTTCTATTTTAAGGCTTTTCCTAGATATCTCTCACTGTGCCTCCTTTCCACCACCCAGCCCTCCTGTATTCTAAAGGCCGCACTCAGTTCTGACTTTGATTGCTAAGGAAGCAACAAGGAGATACAGAGGATGTAGTTCAGTGATGCGGCATCTCTGGGTCTGATCCAGACAGAGAGAGAGAGGGAGGGAGGGAGGCAAGAGGGGAGAGAGAGACACCTTA